ACACACAAAGGAAAATAACCGGCAATATAGATAGATATTCTATCGTGATATTAGAAAATAATAGAACTTAATTGTGCCCAGAACACTGGTTTTTATCACGTTTGGAAGATAATCTGTCTCACTTGTAGCGACCTTTCAAATAATTTAAACTTGATATGATAATATTTAAAAATCAGAAAAAACTTAAATGGTACCGTGATCTGAACAAATTCATTTATTAATTGATCAATGGTTTATACGTAAAATGAATATGTTATAAAAAAAAGAGGACAATACTTGCCCTTGTGCAAAAACAATAACCCCAGATCGCCCACTTGAGATCAACTGCTAGAAAAAAATGATACTGTCTTCAATGCAGCTGTTGGTCATTGGTTCACATTTAAAGTAATCAAAGGTAGAACCTTATGATCATTACACTTAAGTTTGATTTAAATCTATATCATTTAGATCAAGAGAAGTTGTTGTTAAAAGAAGTTGTGAACGGTCGTCGAACGACACATATTGTATCACTCATCTTTTTTTGGGGAATTATTTCCAAGAATTTCTTAGATAAGCATTAACGTAGTCTCAATCCTATATGCAAGCAATTTTAACTGGATTATTTTAACCACTCTTTTGGTAAGATATTATCATTCTATTATGTTAGCAGCTGGCTTTATTTAACTATTGCCAAAACAATAATTTTAAGTACTCGATGACTGCTTCCTTGAAACTAATCAGTGCTTGAAAAATAGGATATTGGGGACATCGTAATCAAGTTCAGTTTCCGGGATTCAAATCTGTGACTGCAGAATATGGGGTCCGACGCTTTATCCATTAACCACTGGCCCATAAACACGCTGTCACAAAACTATCGGGTGAAAATTCGGAATTGATCTCCATAACTTTCAGAGATCTTTTAAACATCTAATCTTGTTCTTAAATTTGTTAAACTTCCGATATAAGAGCAGAAAAAATGTGAAAATTCAGGGAAAATCTCATAGCAAATTATCATTTAAAATGCTTAAAAACATGTTTAAAGTCTTATGACGTATAATAACACATGTGACTTCTGTAATATCTCGTAAAATTTTAATTGTTTGAAATGTCATCAGATATATTTTTTGTCAATTTCAAATAACAAATAACAACCCTTCTGTTCAGGGAATAATTAAGTCAATATATTTCCTCGTACATCTTTATTGTGAAATTCCAGGAATGTCTTTAGTAGCTGTTTCGTCATATTTGAGAGGTAATTTTGTCTGCAAATGATACCTTTGTGAATTACTGTTAGAAATAATCTGAAACTTTTATTGTAAACATTTGTCTAAGTGAGATTTTCAACATATAAGTCTAGAAGAAATCTCAATAAAGTTCGATGTGCTTGTATCTTAGATTCAATATAGACCAATTTTGTATTGTTAAATATAGACGATATGCTTTGAAGGATCACATTTTGCACATATCGCATTTGACACGTGTGATAAAATTGATCGCAAATGTCACACTATAAAACATATTCTTCACAACCGTTTTTGACGTTTGTGTTAAGTTGTCACAGGACCATATATGACATTTATACATTTACATGTACAAGTATCTGATTTTCCTTGTATATGTGAATATGTTTTTTTACTTATGATTCCTAAAACAATGTCAGCGCTGTATTGATATCAAAATATTATCTTGTTATCTTACAGTAAATAAAATAACCGTGTCTTTAACCCAAAGAAAAGTTGTCATGTTTTCGAAACATGTGTAACAATTCTCAAATAATATATGATACTTAAATACGTGTACATTTGTTTGAGTTGCAGTATCATAACATTGTTCATAATACTGTGACTAAAGCGAACGGGTCCATGCTTTATATTGTTACTATTTCATTGTAAATAAATAGGAGATATGAACCGTGCAGACTATGTTTTAAAATAAATGTATGATTATAAGTGACAATGACTTTACATAGGGCACTTTCTAGTTCAACATTTTACTTGCTACTTGTAATGAAAAAATTAAGCCATGTTTTAACAAGCCTGTACACATATATCCCCGCAAGACAATTAAATAAGCTTAAAACGTGTCCAACAACAACCCCGTTTTCAAACAAGTCTTTCTAAAGGGGTTATGTACCAATATTCTAACAGCAAATGCAACATGTTTCTGACCTGACATTTATAAAAGTTTGTGTTGTTGTTGTCGTCGTTGTTGGGGTTTGCAATATTAACTGGTTATGTAAAGCAAGTTAATGAAATATTACGAGGGATACTAGTTCAAACCTGTATTCGTTTATTTGTCTGGTTAAAGGAAATATTAAATACGTTTTCAAAAGAAGTCATTTGTGTTGGTTTCCTGTAATACAGGGGAGACTAATCAGAAAACTAATACTAAAAAAATTCTTCCGGAGTTACTTCCCGAAAAATTAAATGATCAAATAGTTAGTGCCGTATTATGTGCAATTTATGCTTAAATACTGTGAATTTCGTGTAATAAAATAAACTGTAAACGTTTTTATTGTTAAGGGAAAATGAAGAACGCAACTCATTTTCTTAAGTTAATTATTCACTTTATACTCTACAATATATATTTGACAAATACACAACAAATATATCAAATGTGCGGACATGTAGATGTTATCTATATCTCTTTATTAAAACCGAAATTACTTAAACTAAACTAAATAAAGGTGGTAATACCTAGATTATGTCCTTGTGTTTTATGCATAATGAAAGTAAGCAAAGTCTTTAAAGGCCCATCATGCCTCCGATATACTATCATTTTTATACAAAAACTTCTTGTTTTATGGTATTTTGTTTTAATGTCAAAAGAAATACTCATTGGCCACATAGAGGAACTATCTATTGCTTTCTTTGATCCGTTAGCAATGGGTATAATCATAGTGAATTTGTATTTTTATGGGAGACAAAATACAGCTTTGTTGACATTTTGCTACCTTTATGACACTTTACGTTCAGCTCTGCTTTCTTTAGTTGTAAAACATCTTACATCATCTAAATCCATTATTTAAACATTATTTAACACATGTTTAAAATTTCTAAACAATTAAAAAATATTGATTTCTAGGACATAATGTGTGAACCATTAAACAGTAGCGTTCATGGTTTGATTCTAATGTTATCCCTTGTTTGTAGGAACAGAAAGATATCAGCTACATTTTTGAAAGTGTTGTAGAAATTAGTCTTAAAGTCGAGAGGGAAACTTATAGACTGGGACATTTTATTCCTCAACAACAGTCTCATAACATATCGCGGCAAGTAATGGCAATTTTCAGCTAGGACATTTTTAAAAGAGTCATTTTTCGGCCATAAAAGTCGAGGTTTCATCCTCAAACTCGGCTTTTAACAAGGTACGCATCAAACAAAATATCGCGGATTGCAATGGCCGATGGCGGCTATCTAAATTAGGCATATGTTTGCGTGACATATTCATAACTTAATTTTACAACAACAACAAGAACAACAACAACATATACAGTACATTTAAGACAATATTCTGTTATGAAATAGAGAAAAAACCTCTCATTAACAAACAACATCCCGATTTAGATTATCTTTACATAATTTAGGAACTGAAAGTGGAGGATTCGCTGGAAATGATTGTACATTATATTTGTGAAATGTGTAATAGAAATGTTTAATATGAATATCACCTTTTAATTTGATGTCTTTTTTATAGGTAATTACGTCTTCAATATTGTATCAGTTACTCATTGTCTAAAATATTGTATCAGTTAGTCATTTCCTACTCTTAAATAAAATTTATTTTCTGTTATGTAGCAAAAAATATGCTAACTAATAGACATGTTGCTAGATTTACTGCATGTGCTATGAATCTAAGAGAACAGAAACTCCTGGATAAAGAGGGGTTCATCCCCTCGAAACGTTGGAGGTTAAAAACTTTGTGAAGTAGATAATTATTAAGAGAACAGAACTGCTTGCAAGTAAAGCTGATCCTTTAAATTACTTAATAATGTCATTCTTTGTAGGTTAAAAGAAAACATATATATTAATATATGTTAATATTGTTTTAGCCATCTTATCTTATAATAAATTCAAATGATCAAATGAACATTTCATGCCTATTTTGCAATAAAAATAGAAACTATTAAATATTTTTATTTTTAGACATGTACTTTTTTCTGGTGAATTAAAAGGATAAAATCCTATAAAAGTAAACAAGAATTTTGAAAAGTTTTTTTTGAAAAATTATCATTTATGCAAAACTAAACATTAATAATAATTTTTTAATCACGAAAAATCACAAATACAAACATTTACAAAATTTTTCTATTAAGGAATCTGGGATGTTACAGAAATCCTCTCCGTGACGTCAAGAAATTTATTATTCCGTAAGCATTTGCACAATTCACCTAGCGTTTTGTTTTGGGTAATTTAAGGGCTGCAAAGGCCTTTATATTTTTTGTCTTTGATGAATTTCATATATTTTTTTTCACTTTCTCGTCTGCAAATTTGTCTCCGACAGAAACAGCTATAATTATTTGTATAGTTTATTTAAAGGAAGGAAAATTTTTATACATTATTCTACTCGGTTTCATTTACAAACATACACGTTTTTTTTCCATCATTGGCATAGAAACCTAAAAAACAGAATGTTTTCAGGTAAATTATTCAAATTACTAAGATTAACATTTCATTTCGCACTTCAGTATTTTCGAGAAACCTACATTTTTTCATACAAAATTTCTCTAAGTTAAATTTTCATCTGCAAACAGAAAAAGGTAATAAGAAAACATAAATTTTTGTGTAAAAAAAGGAAAATTTTTTGTGTATCTTTTTGTATAATAAATTTTTTCCGTGTGTTTTTCTTGTTTTTTATAAATAAGCATTTACCCATACTTATTTCAACTGAGATATTGGGTACAAAACAGATTCACAAGACAATAAAGCTGAAATAAAATCAATCCTAACCCCAAAAAAAACCCAAGGGCAACAACCGTATTCGAAATGAACCTTCATTTTAAGTTCCAAACAATATTTTTACAATCTGAATTTATTTTGAAATTTAAAAGATCTAAAATTAGTTTATTTGAATTAATAATCTTTATGCTATTCAAATATACTAAAATATAAGAATATAATATTTGATATTAACTTTTTTCTCTTTCATTTCAGTTTGATACATCGTCAAAGGTGACTTCTGAGACTAGAGCCGATGCACGCAGAAGCTTGTTCGCAGTCAAGCGTCTAGCTGAAGATGATCTTTCTAACGATACTCCATGCTCGAAAAAGATGCGTCAAATAGAGAATGATTTAGCTACATTAACTACTCAGGTATGTATGGTGAAATATTAGTTATAGAATTAGAATCTACATGTATTGTTTCATTCTTGAAGTAACATTTAAAATATCTTCAAAGTTGTACAAGTACTTGAACTTTCTCACGTTGACATTTTATTCTTAATATTCACTGTTATTGCATTTTCAGAATGTCATTACGGCAGTAGAACGTCTCGAATCTCGTTATTTGGTAGCCGATGGATCACGTGACTACATTCTACCTTCAGTACAAGGAAAACATGGCGACCTCAAATCCATCACACCGGAAACAATGGCAAAAGTGTTGAACGGTCATTACAGTGACAAGATTGGGAAAGTCACAATCGTAGATTGCAGGTACCCGTACGAATTTGATGGCGGACACATCCGAGGCGCTGTCAACTTGTACACAAAAGATGACGTCAACAGTCTTCTCCAGTCACGTGACGTGACAGAAAAACCACACATTCTTATATTTCACTGTGAATTCTCATCTGAAAGAGGTCCAAAAATGTAAGTTTCATTTTATTCGGTACCTATATTCTCATATACATTACGAACTGTTCAAGGTATTCTTCAAAGTGATAGTAACTTATACAAAAGTACAAAGATAGCCACTCATTGTATTTTCTAATATTGATTTCTAAAAGAGTATTGTTGATATGTTTCAATATATGTTAGATTATATTCTTTATAGATATTTCTTTTCTGTGTACCAGGTATCGTTTTCTAAGAAGCCAGGATCGTGAATTGAATAAGGAACATTATCCAAAACTAAACTTTCCGGAAGTCTATTTACTTGATGGCGGTTACAAAGCTTTCTTCACATCACAAAAGGTATTTTTACATTGGATATCAAAATGTTTGTGAATTTCAAATACTATTGATAACATAAAGTAAATAACAACGTTAAATAATGGAATATTTTTCTATTTATCTAAAATTAATTTATTTCAATTTTGTTATTTAAAAATGTGTGTGACAAAAACGCGACAACTAGCTTTAAAATAGACACATATATAGACATACATTTTTAGATGAAATAGATATGTACAATGTACTATTTATTAAAAACAAACACTATTTTTTATTATTTCTCTATTTTCTTTCAGCAATGTTGCGAACCTGCCAGTTACAAGCCGATGCTGCACGAAGATCACGCAGCTGATTTACGTCACTTCCGGGTAAAGTCTAAATCATGGACGGAAGGTGACAAACAGAAGACTAGCAAACGTCAGCATAGTCGACTAAATCGTCATCTTAGTTTCTAAACATTTGAATTATCTTGTTGTTTCCCTAGTGCTAATGTTATTTGTTATTTTTGTCACATTTGAATTATTTGTTGTGTTTTTGTTATGTATATATAGTGGATAATAAACTGAAAATATAAATTATGCTATTCCTTTTTCCTTAACAACAAGAACTTGTTTAAACGCTTTCAAGGCAGTTCGATTGATCACCCATTTTCCAGTATGATGTTTTTTAGCATTATATTTATAAAGATTATAAGTATGACGTATAACGACATACCGATGGGCGAAATACTTTATGTTTGAATAATTATAGTTTTCATACTTGCCAGAATATTCTTCATGAATATCAGTTAGTTAAAAACAAATCTGTTACCTTTTGAAAATTGATGTGTAAAACTATTTAGAGCACATGTCAATGAACATACATTCATACATAATATATATATAAGTCATGGATATGTTATGAGACATATATGATATACGGAATCCATTTTAAGGGTCATGTGTCGCAATTGGATATCGACATTGTATTTCACTATTAAGTGCATGAGTTAATTGAGTACATTTATTTTGAAACAATTTATTTTGCACGATTCTTTTTTATCACACGAAATCACGTGCATTTTTATCAAATGCATAACACATCAGCATGCTTGTTAATATTGACTATATGCACCTTTCGTGTATTTAAATGCTTAATAAATGTTGTTGTATTAAAACGATTGGAAAATTTGTTAAAGCAATATTCACACTCACACTTCAGTTGTCGGTATACTGTTTGTATTTGTTTCTTATGAAACATTTACGACGAACATCTACGTTTTCTAGTATTTTACACACCTCTGGAGATGTTTCTAAATTTTTAATTTCAACATGTTTACCTCTAAACATTGAATATTGCTACAGTCGGTGCTACGGGAGCATTTGCAGTATTCTTCTCGAACTTTTATTTATATTTAAAAAATTAAAGATTTTTTCCACTTGCCAGAATATTTCAAATGAATATCAGTTGATTAAGGACTTGTTAATTATTGAAAATCAGTGTATAGCATAGCGTAGCGTAGCGTAGCGTAGCACAGCACAGCACAGCACAGCACAGCACAGCACAGCACAGCACAACACAGCAGAACATAGCATATCAGAACACAACCATATTTACATTTACATTCAATACAATATATTGTGCTACTTTAAATTTGTTATTTTGTATAAAATCTAGGTATCGTTCTAATGATAATTCATTCTTATATCAAGTATAAGACTGCAATCTGTAAGACGTTCTTAATTCAGCAGCCCATGTTTGTCTATAACTCTTTGCTCAATTGCTATCACAAACTACACCCCTTATGTTATATTAGAAAAAAACTAAACAAAATGTTAATCTCGCGACTTATTTATTATTTAATACTGTTATTCTAGCATATGAACTGGTACTCGTACTGATGATATATGTTAGATTTTGGTTAAAATTCCTTAATAAATGTCAAAATATAAGTGAAAGGTTTTGTTTGACAAAGTTATCATTTTATGTCAAAATAATATTCTTTACATTATCAAATCTTAATCGGGATTATCAAACATCTACTGTTGTTTTTTTTTTTCTATCTGACACAATCTTGAATGTAAAGTAACTGGCAAACAATTAAAGGAGACTTAACTATACTTTCATATGTTTGACTTCTGTATCTAAACGTTTTGTTTATTTGTTATAAATATGTTAATAATGTACGTGAATATGTATTAATATTATACCATTTAAGTAAACCTAATAACTAAAAAGAAAGGTGAATCGTGCAAATTGATTTTCAAATAAATGTATGGCAATTTGTGACAATTACTTAATATTAAGCATTTTATAGTTCAACATTTCGCATGCTACTTGTAACAGTTAAACCGAGTCATTCACTTAACGTTATGTTTCATTACATTCTCGCAATTCCTTTTTAACGCGTACTAGAATATAACAATACTAAATTACACAAAAGCATAGCATAGCATGCATAGCGTAGCATAGTGTAGCGTAGCATAGCATAGCATAGCGTAGCATAGCATAGCATAGCACAGCACAGCATAGAACAGCACAGCACAGCACTACACTGTACGCACGTACCGCACCGCACTGCACGACACAGAACAACACAGCATAGCACGTCACAGAATATTATAGCACAGCATAGCACGACACAGCATGGCAAAGCTGAGCTGAGCAGAGCACAGCACAGCACAGCACAGCAGCACAGCAAAGCATATAGCACAAAACCGTATAGCACCACAGTATAGCACGGCACAGCATAGCACGGCGCAGCACGGCACAGCCAAATCACATATCATACAATCTAATGAAGGGCATATAGGTACTTCTTAAAATTTTAACATTTTCTGTTGTAAGGTGAACATTGGTATTAGATTTCTTCTGTTAGAAATAATTCCATAACAACATTCAAGTCCTGAATTATTGCAATATGTTAGTCATTCAAACAAAACAAAACAAAATCAAGAAAGGCTAGCAGTCTTTTAATATCTTAAGACTTAAAGCATGTCTACACATAGGAGAGCGAAAAGAATGAATGCTTTGCAGATTTTGCTCAACGAACATGTAAGAAGATGAAGGACACTTTATGATTTAGACGACATTCTAAGGGAAATAACTGTTAAAGATGAATAAATCTCTTTACCTAAACTGATAGATTATCACATTATTTAAACAATTATCGGCAAAAATCAGCCAAATATATTGTTAAATCATCTTTACGTAGAAGAAAACTTACCATTTAATATTGTTATTCTAAGATTTGTACTGTATTGGTGAAATATGATAGATAATGGATAAAATTCCTTTAAAAATGTCAACAAGAACGTTTGATCAAAATATCTGTAAAAAGGTTTGTTTGACAAAGTTATCATTTATGTCGAAACAATAACCTTTGTATTATCAACTTTTAATCACGAGTAAATCACAAATATCAAACATTTACTATTTTTCTATCTGACAGAATCTCGGATGTTACAGAAATCACTCTCCGTGACTGTCAAGCAATTATGTAATCTCCGTAACGCACTTGCACAATTTGCACCTAGCGATTTGATTGGGTAATTAAGGGCTGCAAGGCCAATTATATATTGTCGTTAGTGACTATTTCAGTATATTTTATTTCACTTTACTCGTCTGTCAAATTTGTCTCAACGCACAGGAAACATACAATAATTATTTTGTATAATTTGTATTTATAGGAATGGAAAATTTGTTATAGCATTATTCATACTCGGATTTCATTTAGAAACATACACTGTTCTTTTCCATACATTGGCATAGAAACCTAATAAAACAGAATGTCTATCAGGTAAATTATTCTAAATTACATAAGATTTACATTTCATTTCAGCACTTCAGTATGTCCGTGGAAATACCTACATATTATTCATATACAAATGCTCTAGATTTTATTTTCATCTGTCAAACATGGAAAAGTGTAATACGAATGACATCAATTTTGTGTATAAAAGGGATAATATTTTTGTGTATCATTTATGTATAATAAATCTTTTCCTGTATGTTTTTCTATGTTATTTATAAATATAGCATTTATCATATTTTATTTCAGACTGAGATTATTCGGTGAGGTAACAGATTCACCAGAGACAACTAAAGCTGAAATAGAATCAATCCTAACACCAGAAACCAAGGGCAACAACTCTGTATTCGAAAATGATACCCCTTCATGTGTAAGTTCACAAACAATATTTTTACAATCTGAATTTATTTTGAAATTTAAAAGATCTAAAATTAGTTTATTTGAATTAATAATCTTTATGCTATTCAAATATACCAAAATATAAGAATATAATATTTGATATTAACTTTTTTCTCTTTCATTTCAGTTTGATACATCGTCAAAGGTGACTTCTGAGACTAGAGCCGATGCACGCAGAAGCTTGTTCGCAGTCAAGCGTCTAGCTGAAGATGATCTTTCTAACGATACTCCTCGAAAAAGATGCGTCAAATAGAGAATGATTTAGCTACATTAACTACTCAGGTATGTATGGTGAAATATTAGTTATAGAATTAGAATCTACATGTATTGTTTCATTCTTGAAGTAACATTTAAAATAACTTCAAAGTTGTACAAGTACTTGAACTTTCTCACGTTGACATTTTATTCTTAATATTCACTGTTATTGCATTTTCAGAATGTCATTACGGCAGTAGAACGTCTCGAATCTCGTTATTTGGTAGCCGATGGATCACGTGACTACATTCTACCTTCAGTACAAGGAAAACATGGCGACCTCAAATCCATCACACCGGAAACAATGGCAAAAGTGTTGAACGGTCATTACAGTGACAAGATTGGGAAAGTCACAATCGTAGATTGCAGGTACCCGTACGAATTTGATGGCGGACACATCCGAGGCGCTGTCAACTTGTACACAAAAGATGACGTCAACAGTCTTCTCCAGTCACGTGACGTGACAGAAAAACCACACATTCTTATATTTCACTGTGAATTCTCATCTGAAAGAGGTCCAAAAATGTAAGTTTCATTTTATTCGGTACCTATATTCTCATATACATTACGAACTGTTCAAGGTATTCTTCAAAGTAATAGTAACTTATACAAAAGTGCAAAGATAGCCACTCATTGTATTTTCTAATATTGATTTCTAAAAGAGTATTGTTGATATGTTTCAATATATGTTAGATTATATTCTTTATAGATATTTCTTTTCTGTGTACCAGGTATCGTTTTCTAAGAAGCCAGGATCGTGAATTGAATAAGGAACATTATCCAAAACTAAACTTTCCGGAAGTCTATTTACTTGATGGCGGTTACAAAGCTTTCTTCACATCACAAAAGGTATTTTTATATGTAATCTTAAGTACTCGATGACTGCTTCCTTGAAACTAATCAGTGCTTGAAAAATAGGATATTGGGGACATCGTAATCAAATTCAGTTTCCGGGATTCAAATCTGTGACTGCAGAATATGGGGTCCGACGCTTTATCCATTAACCACTGGCCCATAAACACGCTGTCACAAAACTATCGGGTGAAAATTCGGAATTGATCTCCATAACTTTCAGAGATCTTTTAAACATCTTATCTTGTTCTTAAATTTGTTAAACTTCCGATATAAGAGCAGAAAAAATGTGAAAATTCAGGGAAAATCTCATAGCAAATTATCATTTAAAATGCTTAAAAACATGTTTAAAGTCTTATGACGTATAATAACACATGTGACTTCTGTAATATCTCGTAAAATTTTAATTGTTTGAAATGTCATCAGATATATTTTTTGTCAATTTCAAATAACAAATAACAACCCTTCTGTTCAGGGAATAATTAAGTCAATATATTTCCTCGTACATCTTTATTGTGAAATCCAGGAATGTCCTTAGTAGCTGTTTCGTCATATTTGAGAGGTAATTTTTGTCTGCAAATGATACCTTTGTGAATTGCTGTTAGAAATAATCTGAAACTTTTATTGTGTAAACATTAATTTTTGTCTAAGTGAGATTTTCAAACATATAAGTCTAGAAGAAATCTCAATAAAGTTCGATGTGCTTGTATCTTAGATTCAAATATAGACCAATTTTGTATTGTTAAATATAGACGATATGCTTTTGAAGGATCACATTTTGCACATATCGCATTTGACACGTGTGATAAAAATTGATCGCAAATGTCACACTATAAAACATATTCTTCACAACCGTTTTTGACGTTTGTGTTCAGTTGTCACAGGGCCATACATGTATATAACATACATTTACATGTACAAGTATCTGATTTTGCTTGTATATGTGAATATGTATTTTTACTTATGATTCCTAAAACAATGTCAGCGCTGTATTGATATCAAAATATAATTATCTTGTTATCTTACAGTAAATAAAATAACTGTGTCTTTAACCCAAAGAAAAGTTGTCATGTTTTCGAAACATGTGTAACAATTCTCAAATAATATATGATACGTACATTTGTTTGATTGCAGTATCATAACATTGTTCATAATACTGTGACTAAAGCGAACGGGTCCATGCTTTATATTGTTACTACTTCCTTGTAAATAAATAGGAGATATGAACCGTGCAGACTATGTTTTTAAAATAAATGTATGATTATAAGTGACAATGACTTTAATTAGGGCACTTTCTAGTTCAACATTTTACTTGCTACTTGTAATGAAAAAAATTAAGCCATGTTTTAACAAGCCTGTACACATATATCCCGCAAGACAATTAAATAAGCTTAAAACGTGTCCAACAACAACCCCGTTTTCAAACAAGTTCTTTCTAAAGGGGTTATGTACCAATATTCTAACAGCAAATGCAACATGTTTCTGACCTGACATTTAAAAAAGTTTGTGTTGTTGTTGTCGTCTTTGTTGGGGTTTGCAATATTAACTGGTTATGTAAAGCAAGTTAATGAAATATTACGAGGGATACTAGTTCAAACTTGTATTCGTTTATTTGTCTGGTTAAAGGAAATCAAAAGAAGTCATTTGTGTTGGTTTCCTGTAATACAGGGGAGACTAATCAGAAAACTAATACTAAAAAAATTCTTCCGGAGTTACTTCCCGAAAAATTAACTGATCAAATAATAGTGCCGTATTATGTGCAATTTATGCTTAAATACTGAGAATTTCGTGTAATAATATAAACTGTAAACATTTTTATTGTTAAGGGAAAATGAAGAACGCAACTCATTTTCTTAAGTTAATTATTCACTTTATACTCTACAATATATATTTGACAAATACACAACAAATATATCAAATGTGCGGACATGTAGATGTTATCTATATCTCTTTATTAAAACCGAAATTACTTAAACTAAACTAAATAAAGGTGGTAATACCTAGATTATGTCCTTGTGTTTTATGCATAATGAAAGTAAGCAAAGTCTTTAAAGGCCCATCATGCCTCCGATATACTATCATTTTTATACAAAAACTTCTTGTTTTATGGTATTTTGTTTCAGTGTCAAAAGGAATACTCATTTGCCACATAGAGGAACTATCTATTGCTTTTTTTGATCCGTTAGCAATTGGTATATTCATGGTGAATTTGTATTTTTATGGGAGACAAAATACAGCTTTGTTGACATTTTGCTACCTTTATGACACTTTACGTTCAGCTCTGCTTTCTTTAGTTGTAAAACATCTTACATCATCTAAATCCATAATTGAAACATTATTAACACATGTTTAAAATTTCTAAACAATTAAAAAATATTGATTTCCGGGGCATAATGTGTGAACCATTAAACAGTAGCGTTCATGGTTTGATTCTAATTTTATCCCTTGTTTGTAGGAACAGAAAGATATCAGCTACATTTTTTGAAAGTGTCGTAGAAATTAGTCTTAAAGTCGAGAGGGAAAATTTTAGACTGGGACATTTTATTCCTCAACAACAGTCTCATAACATATCGCGGCAAGTAATGGCAATTTTCAGCTAGGACTTTTTTAAAAGAGTCATTTTTCGGCCATAAAAGTCGAGGTTTCATCCTCAAACTCGGCTTTTAACAAGGTACGCATCAAACAAAATATCGCGGATTGCAATGGCCGATGGCGGCTATCTAAATTACGCATATGTTTGCGTGACATATTCATAACTTAATTTTACAACAACAACAACAAATACAGTACATTTAAGACTATATTCTGTTATGAAATAGAGAAAAAAACCTCTCATTAACAAACAACATCCCGATTTAAATTATCGTCACATAATTTAGAAACTGAAAGTGGAGGATTCGCTGGAAATGATTGTACATTATATTTGTGAAATGTGTAATAGAAATGTTTAATATGAATATCACCTTTTAATTTGATGTCTTTTTTATAGGTTATTACGTCTTCAATATTATATCAGTTACTCATTGTCTAAAATATTGTATCAGTTAGTCATTTCCTACTCTTAAATAAAATTTATTTTCTGTTATGTAGCAAAAATACGCTAACTAATAGACATGTTGCTAGATTTACTGCATGTGCTATGAATCTAAGAGAACAGAAACTCCTGGATAAAGAGGGGTCCATCCCCTCGAAACGTTGGAGGTTAAAAACTTTGTGAAGTATATAATTATTATTTGACATAATTGCTTGCAAATAAAGCTGATCGTTTAAATTACCTTATAATGTCATTCTTTATAGGTTAAAAGAATACAGTCATGTATTTAATATATGTTTATATTGTTTTAGCCAACTTATTTTATGATAATTTCAAATCGTCAAAGGAATATTTCATGCCGATTTTGCCAAACAAAAATTGGCAACTATTAAATATTGTTATTCTACGATATGTACAAATGTACTTATACAGGTGTTATATGATAGATAATGGATAAAATTTCTTTAAAAATGTCAACAAGAACGTTTGATCAAAAATATCAGTAAAAAGGTTTGTTTGACAAAGTTATCATTTATGTCGAAACAATAACCTTTGTATTATCAACTTTTAATCACGAGTAAATCACAAATATCAAACATTTACTATTTTTCTATCTGACACAGATGTTACAGAAATCACTCTCCGTGACTGTCAAGCAATTATGTATCTAAACATTTTGTTTATTTGCTAAAAATATGTTAATAATGTACGTGAATATGTGTTTATATTATACCATTTAAGTAAAGCTAATAATTTAAAAAGAAAGGTGAATCGTGCAAATTGATTTTCAAATAAATGTATGGCAAGTTGTGACAATTACTTAATATTAAGCATTTTCTAGTTCAACATTTCGCATGCTACTTGTAACAGTTAAACCGAGTCATTCACTTAATAGTGAAATATATCTTACCAAGAATTCCCCCATTGAAATCTACGGAAGAACAATGTGCCACTATCGCGGTTATGTTTCATTACATTATCGCAATTCCTTTTTAACGCGTACTAGAATATAACAATACTAAATTACACAATAGCATAGCATAGCATGGCATGGCATGGCATGGCATGGCATGGCATGGCATGGCATGGCATGGCATGGCATGGCATGGCATGGCATGGCAGGGCAGGGCATGGCAGGGCAGGGCAGGGCAGGGCAGGGCAGGACAGGGCAGGGCAGGGCAGGGCAGGGCAGGGCAGGGCAGGGCAGGGCAGGGCAGGGCAGGGCATAGGGCATAGGGCATAGGGCATAGGGCATAGCATAGCATAGCATAGCATAGCATAGCATAGCATAGCATAGCATAGCATAGCATAGCATAGCATAGCATAGCATAGCATAGCATAGCATAGCACACCACAGCACAGCATAGCACAGCACAGCATAGCATAGCACAGCACAGCATAGCATAGCACAGCACAGCATAGAACAGCACAGCACTACACTGTACGCACGTACCGCACCGCACTGCACGACACAGAACAACACAGCATAGCACGGCACAGCATATCATAGCACAGCATGGCACGACACATCAGCAAAGCAGAGCACAGCAGAGCAAAGCATATAGCACAAAACCGTATAGCACCAGAGTATAGCACGGCACAGCATAGCACGGCACAGCCAAATCACATATCATACAAACTAATGAAGGGCATATAAGTACTTCTTACATTTTAACATTTTCTGTTGTAAGGAGAACATTGGTTTTAGATTTCTTCTGTTAGAAATAATTCCATAACAATATTCTCAAGTCCTGAATTATTGCAATATGTTAGCCATTCAAACAAAACAAAACAAAATCAAGAAAGGCTAGCAGTCATTTAATATTTTAAGACTTGAAGCATGTCTACACATAGGAGAGCGAAAAGAATAAATGCTTTGCAGATTTTGCTCAACGAACATGTAAGAAGATGAAAGACACTTTATGATTTAGACGACATTCTAAGGGAAATAACTGTTAAAGATGAATAAATCTCTTTACCTAAACTGATAGATTATCACATTATTTAAACAATTATCAGAAAAAATCAGCCAAATATATTGTTAAATCATCTTTACGTAGAAGAAAACTTACCATTTAATATTGTTATTCTAAGATTTGTACTGTATTGGTGAAATATGATAGATAATGGATAAAATTCCTTTAAAAATGTCAACAAGAACGTTTAATCAAAAATATCAGTAAAAAGGTTTGTTTGACAAAGTTATCATTTATGTCGAAACAATAACCTTTGTATTATCAACTTTTAATCACGAGTAAATCACAAATATCAAACATTTACTATTTTTCTATCTGATAGAATCTCGGATGTTACAGAAATCACTCTCCGTGACTGTCAAGCAATTATGTAATCTCCGTAACGTTGCACATAGCGATTTGATTGGGTATATTTGCCAGAATATTCTTCACGAATATCAGTTAGTTAAAAACAAATCTGTTACCTTTTGAAAATTGATGTGTAAAACTATTTCTAGCACATGTCAATGAACATACATGATACATACATATATATATAAGTCATGGATATGTTATGAGACATTTCTGATATACGGAATCCATTTTAAGGGTCATGTGTCGCAATTGGATATCGACATTGTATTTCACTATTAAGTGCATGAGATAATTGAGTACATTTATTTTGAAACGATTTATTTTGCACGATTCTTTTTGAATTATAATTCTTTTCTTACTAAATGATAAATATCACAAGGCGTGCTAGAATATAACAATACTAAATTACAAAATATGTTAAGCAAAGCATAGCATAGCATAGCATAGCACAGCATTACACTGTATCGCACCGCACCGCACTGCACGACACAGAACAACACAGCATAGCACGGCACAGCAAGGCAAAGCAAAGCACAGCACAGCAGAACATAGCATATCAGAACACAACACAAGACAACCATATTTACATTCAACACAACATATTATGCTACTTTAAATTTGTTATTTTGTATAAAATCTAGGTATCGTTCTAATGATAATTCATTCTTATATCAACTATAAGACTGCAATCTGTAAGACGTTCTTAATTCAGCAGCCCATGTTTGTTCTTATATCAATAACTCTTTGCTCAACTGTTATCACAAACTACACCCCTTATGTTATATTAGAAAAAAACTAAACAAAATGTTAATCTCGCGACTTATTTATTATTTAATACTGTTATTCTAGCATATGAACTGGTACTCGTACTGATGATATATGTTAGATTTTGGTTAAAATTCCTTAATAAATGTCAGGGGAACCTATGATCAAAATATAAGTGAAAGGTTTTGTTTGACAAAGTTATCCTTTTATGTCAAAATAATATTCTTTACATTATCAAATCTTAATCGCGATTATCAAACATCTACTGTTTTTTTTTCTATCTGACACAATCTTGAATGTAAAGTAACTGGCAAACAATTAAAGGAGACTTAACTATACTTTCATATGTTTGACTTCTGTATCTAAACGTTTTGTTTATTTGTTATAAATATGTTAATAATGTACGTGAATATGTATTTATATTATACCATTTAAGTAAAGCTAATAATTTAAAAAGAAAGGTGAATCGTGCAAATTGATTTTCAAATAAATGTATGGCAATTTGTGACAATTACTTAATATTAAGCATTTTCTAGTTCAACATTTCGCATGCTACTTGTAACAGTTAAACCGAGTCATTCACTTAATAGTGAAATATATCTTACCAAGAATTCCCCATTGAAATCTACGGAAGAAAAATGTGCCACTATCGCGGTTATGTTTCATTACATTCTCGCAATTCCTTTTTAACGCGTACTAGAATATAACAATACTAAATTACACAAAAGCATAGCATAGCATGCATGGCGTAGCGTAGCGTAGCGTAGCGTAGCGTAGCGTAGCGTAGCATAGCATAGCATAGCATAGCATAGCATAGCATAGCATAGCATAGCATAGCATAGCATAGCATAGCATAGCATAGCATAGCATAGCATAGCATAGCATAGCATAGCATAGCATAGCATAGCATAGCATAGCATAGCATAGCATAGCATAGCATAGCATAGCATAGCATAGCATAGCATAGCATAGCATAGCATAGCATAGCATAGCATAGCATAGCATAGCATAGCATAGCATAGCATAGCATAGCATAGCATAGCATAGCATAGCATAGCATAGCATAGCATAGCATAGCATAGCATAGCATAGCATAGCATAGCACAGCACAGCATAGCACGACACAGCACAGCACAGCACAGCATATAGCACAAAACCGTATAGCACGGCACAGCATAGCACGGCGCAGCTCGGCACAGCGAAATCACATATCATACAATCTAATGAAGGGCATATAAGTACTTCTTACATTTTAACATTTTCTGTTGTAAGGTGAACGTTGGTATTAGATTTCTTCTGTTAGAAATAATTCCATAACAACATTCAAGTCCTGAATTATTGCAATATGTTAGTCATTCAAACAAAACAAAACAAAATCAAGAAAGGCTAGCAGTCTTTTAATATTTTAAGACTTAAAGCATGTCTACACATAGGAGAGCGAAAAGAATGAATGCTTTGCAGATTTTGCTCAACGAACATGTAAGAAGATGAAAGACACTTTATGATTTAGACGACATTCTAAGGGAAATAACTGTTAAAGATGAATAAATCTCTTTACCTAAACTGATAGATTATCACATTATTTAAACAATTATCGGCAAAAATCAGCCAAATATATTGTTAAATCATCTTTACGTAGAAGAAAACTTACCATTTAATATTGTTATTCTAAGATTTGTACTGTATTGGTGAAATATGATAGATAATGGATAAAATTCCTTTAAAAATGTCAACAAGAACGTTTGATCAAAATATCAGTAAAAAGGTTTGTTTGACAAAGTTATCATTTATGTCGAAACAATAACCTTTGTATTATCAACTTTTAATCACGAGTAAATCACAAATATCAAACATTTACTATTTTTCTATCTGACAGAATCTCGGATGTTACAGAAATCACTCTCCGTGACTGTCAAGCAATTATGTAATCTCCGTAACGCACTTGCACAATTTGCACCTAGCGATTTGATTGGGTAATTAAGGGCTGCAAGGCCAATTATATATTGTCGTTGAGTGACTATTTCAGTATATTTTATTTCACTTTACTCGTCTGTCAAATTTGTCTCAACGCACAGGAAACATACAATAATTATTTTGTATAATTTGTATTTAAAGGAATGGAAAATTTGTTATAGCATTATTCATACTCGGATTTCATTTAGAAACATACACTGTTCTTTTCCATACATTGGCATAGAAACCTAATAAAACAGAATGTCTATCAGGTAAATTATTCTAAATTACATAGGATTTACATTTCATTTCAGCACTTCAGTATGTCCGTGGAAATACCTACATATTATTCATATACAAATGCTCTAGATTTTATTTTCATCTGTCAAACATGAAAAAGTGTAATACGAATAACATCAATTTTGTGTATAAAAGGGATAATATTTTTGTGTATCATTTATGTATAATAAATCTTTTCCTGTATGTTTTTCTATGTTATTTATAAATATAGCATTTATCATATTTTATTTCAGACTGAGATTATTCGGTGACGTAACAGATTCACCAGAGACAACTAAAGCTGAAATAGAATCAATCCTAACACCAGAAACCAAGGGCAACAACTCTGTATTCGAAAATGATACCCCTTCATGTGTAAGTTCACAAACAATATTTTTACAATCTGAATTTATTTTGAAATTTAAAAGATCTAAAATTAGTTTATTTGAATTAATAATCTTTATGCTATTCAAATATACTAAAATATAAGAATATAATATTTGATATTAACTTTTTTCTCTTTCATTTCAGTTTGATACATCGTCAAAGGTGACTTCTGAGACTAGAGCCGATGCACGCAGAAGCTTGTTCGCAGTCAAGCGTCTAGCTGAAGATGATCTTTCTAACGATACTCCATGCTCGAAAAAGATGCGTCAAATAGAGAATGATTTAGCTACATTAACTACTCAGGTATGTATGGTGAAATATTAGTTATAGAATTAGAATCTACATGTATTGTTTCATTCTTGAAGTAACATTTAAAATATTTTCAAAGTTGTACAAGTACTTGTACTTTCTCACGTTGACATTTTATTCTTAATATTCACTGTTATTGCATTTTCAGAATGTCATTACGGCAGTAGAACGTCTCGAATCTCGTTATTTGGTAGCCGATGGATCACGTGACTACATTCTACCTTCAGTACAAGGAAAACATGGCGACCTCAAATCCATCACACCGGAAACAATGGCAAAAGTGTTGAACGGTAATTACAGTGACAAGATTGGGAAAGTCACAATCGTAGATTGCAGGTACCCGTACGAATTTGATGGCGGACACATCCGAGGCGCTGTCAACTTGTACACAAAAGATGACGTCAACAGTCTTCTCCAGTCACGTGACGTGACAGAAAAACCACACATTCTTATATTTCACTGTGAATTCTCATCTGAAAGAGGTCCAAAAATGTAAGTTTCATTTTATTCGGTACCTATATTCTCATATACATTACGAACTGTTCAAGGTATTCTTCAAAGTAATAGTAACTTATACAAAAGTACAAAGATAGCCACTCATTGTATTTTCTAATATTGATTTCTAAAAGAGTATTTCTTCAACAATGACAATGTTGATATGTTTCAATATATGTTAGATTATATTCTTTATAGATATTTCTTTTCTGTGTACCAGGTATCGTTTTCTAAGAAGCCAGGATCGTGAATTGAATAAGGAACATTATCCAAAACTAAACTTTCCGGAAGTCTATTTACTTGATGGCGGTTACAAAGCTTTCTTCACATCACAAAAGGTATTTTTACATTGGATATCAAAATGTTTGTGAATTTCAAATAATATTGATAACATAAAGTAAATAACAACGTTAAATAATGGAATATTTTTCTATTTATCTAAAATTAATTTATTTCAATTTTGTTATTTAAAAATGTGTGTGACAAAAACGCGACAACTAGCTTTAAAATAGACACATATATAGACATACATTTTTAGATGAAATAGATATGTACAATGTACTATTTATTAAAAACAAACACTATTTTTTATCATTTCTCTGTTTTCTTTCAGCAATGTTGCGAACCTGCCAGTTACAAGCCGATGCTGCACGAAGATCACGCAGCTGATTTACGTCACTTCCGGGTAAAGTCTAAATCATGGACGGAAGGTGACAAACAGAAGACTAGCAAACGTCAGCGTAGTCGACTAAATCGTCATCTTAGTTTCTAAACATTTGAATTATCTTGTTGTTTCCCTAGTGCTAATGTTATTTGTTATTTTTGTCACATTTGAATTATTTGTTGTGTTTTTGTTATGTATATATAGTGGATAATAAACTGAAAATATAAATTATGCTATTCCTTTTTCCTTAACAACAAGAACTTGTTTAAACGCTTTCAAGGCAGTTCGATTGATCACCCATTTTCCAGTATGATGTTTTTTAGCATTATATTTATAAAGATTATAAGTATGACGTATAACGACATACCGATGGGCGAAATACTTTATGTTTGAATAATTATAGTTTTCATACTTGCCAGAATATTCTTCATGAATATCAGTTAGTTAAAAACAAATCTGTTACCTTTTGAAAATTGATGTGTAAAACTATTTAGAGCACATGTCAATGAACATACATTCATACATAATATATATATAAGTCATGGATATGTTATGAGACATATATGATATACGGAATCCATTTTAAGGGTCATGTGTCGCAATTGTATTAATATTATACTTTAAGTAAAGCTAAAATTTAAAAAAAGTATCGGTGCAATTATTTTCAAAAAATGAGAGGCAATTTGTAAATTCTAATATGATTTTCTATTCACATCGATGCTTTGTAACATTAAAATCTTCACTTAAAGTAAATATCTCCAAGAATTCCCCATTAAATTGGAGTAATTGATATTTATTTCATTACTTTGCAATTCTTTTTAAGTACGAATAACAATATTTTAACAAATGCCATAAAACATAGCTCAGCTTGATAATAGAACATAATAGCATTAGATGTAATGATAGAAGCAAAAAAATCAGTTGTATAGCACGAGCAACGATACGTAGCGTAGAAAAAATTTCGATAAACCAATCACAGGCTCACAGCACAGTTGCAAAAAAGGCACAAAATCGAGTAAGCGAAAAGGGAATCAATATAACACGAAGGCAATATACTTTAAAATCTTAACACATGCATGAAGATTTCTTTTAGAAATAATCCATAACAACATTCAAGTCCTGAATTATTGCAAATATGTTAGTCATCTCAAACACAAAACAAAAATCGAGGCTAGCAGATCTTTTAATATTTTATGACTTGAAAGCCATTCCACACATAGGAGAGTGAAAAGTATGAAACTTTGCAGATTTTGCTCAAACGAACATTTAAGAAGAATGAAAGACTACTTTATGAATTTAGACACATTCTAAGGGAAATAACTGTTAAAGATGATAAATCCTTTACCTTAACTGATAGATTTATCACAATTTATTTAAACAATTATCGGCAAAAATCAAGCCAAATATATTGTTTAAATCATCTTTAACGTAGTAAGAAAAACTTACCATTTAATATTGTTTATTCTAAGATTTGTACTGTATTGGTGAAATATGTAGATATGGATAAAATTCCTTTTTAAAAAAGTCAAAAAAGAAATTTGATCAAAATATCAGTAAAAAGGTTTTTTTTACAAAATTATCTTTATGTCAAAAAATAAAATTTGTTTTTTAATTTTAATCACGAGTAAATCACAAATATCAAAAATTTTTCTATTTTTCTATTTACAGAATCTCGGATGTTACAGAAAAACACTCTCCGTCTGCAAGCAAATTATGTAATCTCCGTAAAAGCATGCCAATTTCACCTAGCGATTTGATTGGGTAATTTAAAGGGGTGCAAGGCCAAAAAAAAATATTTTCGTTGATGACTTTCAGATATTTTTTTTCACTTTACTCGTCTGTCAAAATTTTCTCAACGCACAGGAAACAACAATAATTTTTTGTATAAAATTTTTTTTTTAAAGGAATGGAAAATTTGTTATAGCATTATTCATACTGGATTTATTTTGAACATAACTGTTCTTTTCCATACATTGGGGATAGAAACCTAATAAAACAGAATGCTATCAGGTAAAAAATTTTTCTAAAATTTCATAGGGTTTAATTTCATTTTTACACTTTGTATGGCCGTGGAATACCTACATATTTTTCATATACAAAAGTCTAGATTTATTTTCATCTGTCAAAAATGAAAAAGTTAATACGAATAAAAAAATTTTTTTAAAAGGAAAAATATTTTTTGTATCATTTATGTATAAAAAAATCTTTTTCCCGTATGTTTTTTTTATGTTATTTATAATATAGATTTATCATATTTTATTTCAGACTGAATTTTCGGTGACGTAACAATTCACCAGAGCAATAAATAAAATAAACAAACCTAAACCAGAAACCAAAGGGGAACAACTCTGTATTCTAAAAAATGATACCCCTTCATGTGTAAGTTCACAAACAATCATTTTACAATCTGAATTTATTTTGAAATTTAAAAAGATCTAAAATTAGTTTATTTGAATTAATAATCTTTATGCTATTCAAATATACTAAAATATAAGAATAGTAATATTTGATATTAACTTTTTCTCTTTCATTTCAAAGTTTGATACATCGTCAAAGGTGACTTCTGAGACTAGAGCCGATGCACGCAGAAGCTTGTTCGCAGTCAACGTCTAGCTGAAAATGATCTTTCTAACGATACTCCATGCTCGAAAAAAGCATGGTCAAATAGAAATGATTTAGCTACATTTAAGACTACTCAGGTATGTTATGAGTGAAATATTAGTTATAGAATTAGAATCTACATGTATTGTTTCATTCTCTGAAAATAATATTTTAAGAATATTTTTCAAAGTTGTACAAGTACTTGTACTTTCTCACGTTGACATTTTATTCTTTAATATTCACTGTTATTGCATTTTCAGAATGTCATTACGGCAGTAGAACGTCCCTCGAATCTGCGTTATTTGGTAGCCGATGGTATTACATTCTACCTTTGTACAAGGGGGAAAATGGCGACCTCAAATCCATCACACCGGAAACAATGGCAAAAGTGTTGAACGGTAATTTCAGTGACAAAAGGGAAATCACAATCGTAAAATTGCAGGTACCCGTACGAATTTGATGGCGGACACCCAGGGCTGTCAAATTGTACACAAAAGAGACGTCAACGTCTTCTCCAGTCACGTGACGTGACAGAAAAAAAACACATTCTTATATTTTACTGTGAAATTTATCTGAAAAAGGAAAAAAAAGGTTTTCATTTTTTTCGGGACCTATATTCTCATATAAATTAAAAGTTAAAGGGATTTTCAAAAATTTTTTCAAAATACAAAAATAGCCACTCTTGTATTTTCTAATATTTATTTCTAAAAGTATTTTTGAAAATTATTGTTTTAATATATGTTATTATTTTCTTTATGATATTTTTTTTCGGGTACCAGGGATCGTTTTTAAGAAAGGCTTTAATAAAAATTTTCCAAAACTTTCCGGAGTCTTAAATTTACTTTATGGGGGTTACAAACTTCTTCACATAAAAAAGGTTTTTTACTTGATATCAAAATGTTTGTGAATTTCAAAAATATTTTTAAAATAAAATAATTACAAGTTAAATAATGGAAAAATTTATTTAATTTATTTAATTTTTTATTTAAAAAGTGTGTGACAAAAAAGCGAACACTTTTGCCTTTAAAATACATTTTTAAATGAAAAAGATATGTACAAAATTCTTTTATTAAAAACAAAACTATTTTTTATTTCTTATTTTTTTCAGGAAAGTTCAACCTGCCAGTACAACGATGTGCACGAAAACACGCAGTGGATTCCGGGGAAAGTTAAATCATGGACGGAAGGGGACAAACAGAAGATAGAAAAAGTCAGCGTAAAATCGACTAAATCGTCATCTTGTTTCTAAACATTTGAATTATCTTTTTGTTTCCTATGCTAATTTATTTGTTATTTTTGTCACATTTGAATTATTTTTTGTGTTTTTTTATGATATATAGTGGAAAAAAACTGAAAATAAAATTAGTATTTTTTTCCTTAAAAAAAGAACTTTTTAAACGCTTTTTAAGGGAGTTCGATTATCACCATTTTCCTTGATTTTTTTTGCATTTATTTATAAAGATTATAAAAGACGTATAACGACATACCGATGGGCGGAATTCTTTTGTTTGAATAATTATAGTTTTCAACTTGCCAGATATTCTTAGAATATCAGTTAGTTAAAAAAAAAAATCTGTTACCTTTTGAAAATTGATGTGTAAAATATTTAAAACATTCATGTTAAAATTATATATTATAAGTCATGGATTGTTTTTAGAACATTTTCTGATTATACGGAATCCATTTTTTTAAGGGTCATGTGTCGGCAATTGCATATCGACATTGTATTTCACTATTAGTGCATGAGTATATTAGTACATTATTTTGGAACGATTTATTTGCCACGATTCTATTTTGAATTATAATTCTTTTCTTACTAAATGATAAATTATCACAAGGCGTCTAGATTATAACAATACTTAAATTTACAAAATATGTTAGCATAGCATGCATAGCATAAGCACAGCATTTACACTGTATCGCACCGCACCGCACTGCGACGACACAGAAACAATCACAGCAAGTAGCACTGCACAGCAGGCAAAAGAAAGCACAGACAGTAGAACATGCATATCAGAACACAACACAACACAACCATATTTACATTCAACACAAAACATATTTATGGCTACTTTTAAAATTTTTATTTTGTATAAAATCTAGGTATCGTTCTAATGCATAATTCATTTCTTATATCAACTTAAAAGGGGGGGAACTGCAATCTGTAAGACGTTCTTAATTCTAGCAGCCCATGTTTGTTCTTATATCAATAACTCTTTGTTCAACTGTTATCACAAACTACACCCCTTATGTTATATTAGAAAAAAACTAAACGAAATGTTAATCTCGCGACTTATTTATTATTTAATACTGTTATTCTAGCATATGAACTGGTACTTGCACTGGTGATATATGTTAGATTTTGGTTAAAATTCCTTAATAAATGTCAGGGGAACCTTTGATCAAAATATAAGTGAAAAGTTTTGTTTGACAAAACACATATTTGTCCTTTTTGCAAAAGAAAAAATATATTTATTTCTGATGCATAATGCACCTTTAAAAAAAATTCAGAATAAATTTCCCTAAGATATTAATATGTGTAATTTCCTCTATAATTTTTCGGATCATTCGCATTTCTATTATTAAAAACCGGAATAATAACTTTGCCCTAAGTTTTCGGATATTCAGGATTCGTAAACATTTTTATTATAAAGTTTAAGTAGGAAAGAGCTTATAATTAATTCTTAAATACTTCCGAGGGTAATATATCGAGGCCGGGGTTCTTTCCATTTTTTTAAAAAAAAAAATTTAAACGACTTCCTACCTAGAAATTTCCGCGTCCAACGGTTCATCGTGTTGATCAGATGTGTCTAAATTTCGTGAATTCATGTAACTTCCCACCCTAAAACAAAATCTAAAAATGACCACCGAGATCATCTACGTTTAAATTTTTCTGTCCTAGTATTTTGAGGCTTGTATTGCTTTTTACGTGCTTCCAAAATTGTTTAGGCCTAGAACTGGCGATTTTTGCTTTTTTCATTCCCTCGTTTATCTTACATTTTTCAGAAGATAATGCAGTATGCATAAGTCTCGAATAAAATTCTTAACACATAACTTGAATTATATGAGATCCTGTGATAAGAACTTTCTATTGTTTTTTAAATACAGTTAAAATTTCATTTATTACATGTATATGTTTACTTATTTACTTACTTCCTGTATATAAAGTTTTTTATTAACGGTCGTGAAAACTTAAGTGATCAAAATCGTACTTGTCCATTTTGTTTTAATAATGTTGAATCAGAATCTCATGTTATCTTACAGTGCTCACTTTATGATGATTACAGACGAAACTTATTTCATAAAGATCCAAAATTTTATAACAGTCAGATAATGATAAGCTTGTGTTTCTTTTTACAAATACCTCCTTAATTAGAATATGTGCCAAAACCTGTTTCGATATTCTTAATAGACGTAAATTTTATCTTTGAAAATAATTTTATATGTTTGTTTTAAAAACTGAGTAGGTGCTTATCAGGTCACTTTAAGTTTTTTTCAGTTTTTTTAAGTCCAACCTTGTTATGACATAAGTGCTCCTCTTCGTACTGCTTTATTCTACCTTTGTTCTAAATACCTTAGTTATATCATGAAAATTACCTTTGTTTGTTACAAAATGCTATATATTTTTATGTGCTTTATACATTTGTAGTTTCTTGTGATTCTGTATATACATGTTATAATGACATATTTTTATGTTGCATTATATTGTACTATGTATATAGATGAGATTTTAATAATGAATTAATAAATATCTATTTGTACAACATGTAACAACATCTATATTTTCTGTAATGTATTGGATCTGATTGGATTGGATTGAATTAATGTTTATAATTTTGGCGTTTTTCGTGAATAAAAAAATATATATGTTAAAATTACAAAATGATAGCGTATATCAGAATTAAAGTAAAAACACAGTGTTTTAGAGACTTGCGTAACAAAATTATTTTTAATTTCCACAAAAGTTACATCCTTATTTGATCGGAGTATATTATATTTATTTTCCATCTTTGTCTTTTTTATCAAGCATATAATTCTAATATTCCCGCATCCTGTTAAAATAAAAAAGAATGAAATATATATAATTCTTTAACAAATAGCGTATATGTATTTTAAATGATTTTTTTTATTTATACTTTAATTATTTCGCGGGATTTTACCTTCTCATATTCACATAGAAGGGTAATTTAAAGTTTTTATTGTATTTTAATGAAGGAAAATTGAGCTTTATAAATTTCCCCTCGTATACATGGGAATAGGTGTCGAGTTTAACAATCCGAACGGATAATAAAGGCAAAAACGCGATAGGGTTTACATTTAGCGTACAATCAAATATTCATGCGCCAGCCGAGTGAAACGGCGCATAAATTATCGTTAGTCACGTGACATGCCATCGCTATGAATAGATGTGTATTGGGTTTTAATACCGTACGGAAAATCACATAATTGGACAACTTAATCGCACTGACCAACGTAAATAAAGTAAGTGTACATTTAATACAAGTTTACTTTATTGTTTTGTGTCGGTATTTTCACCGATCCTTTCTTTAAGACTGTATAATCACCTTTAAAACGAGTACGATAATTTCGCCTTAAAAACAAATATGGCCGAAGCAATACTTCGTGGTTTATCGAATACTTGTTGGTTCTGTACAAATGCATTAGCGTATATTTGCATTTTGCTACGTTGATAAAACTGTATCTGCACTGACACAGTAATAGCTGTTGATTTTGGTTTAACCACAGTCCTGCTGAGCTTTGATTAAGCGGTTTTGAGGTCTTAATAAATGGTTTTGAGCGCCGTACTGAAGGTGTTTTAACCGTTGATAAAGTCATCTAAAATTGTAAAATGTCAGTTACCGTGTTCAACGTCGTAATGAATTTGCTCGATTCGTAATTCTTAATATACACTGCGACAACAAATATTATATATAATACTTGTACTGCAGCATTGTCATTGTGAACAATCTTGTGTCGTACAAACGTACGATAAAGTATGAAGTGATTTTAATGATTCACGGACAGTGAGTAATAACGGATGCTTTAATGCGTCGGAATGCATTTCATAAATTGCTCTAAATGTCAAGTACAAAATCTTTCCATTTTTTGTATTAAACGTAAACTCATCAAAACTCTCCCGATGTTTGACTCTTTAAGGAATTTTCCCCGTAAATAATGATGACGTATTATTGAAGAAAGCGTTTACTTCTCGCCATTTCATTTATCTATTACACTTTGTGACATAATTTTATATAGAGCAAGTGTTTTATATATATTATCAAGGCGATAAACGTTGAATCTATAGATCAATGTTACCAACTTGTCATGTACGAAACATGCTATTCAATTAAAACCCAGATTTTCAGATTAATTACAAATTAAATAAGTTCCGTAATGTGTAGCGGTGTTGCAATGCACGAATAAAAAGACAATCATCGTCAATTTGTTAACTAAAACAGAACAGAATCAGAATACTTCTTCGCAATATGTAATACTTTTTATTTTTTTCATTATGGAAAATAAGTAACGTTGATTTAAGATCGATACATTTGATATCTCTTAGATTTGATATAAGATATAATATAGCAATTATACTTACAGTGAGAAAAGGTATATACAAAAAGCCATTTTCATGTATGTTATATTGCTGCTTTAAATATTTTGTCTACAATGTTCTGGCCGATAATTCTCCATACTGGAATAATTTAAAACGAAATTATCTTCTAATCACGTCATATTAAAATGTAAAACAGAATGACAAATTAGGATTATTTCTAATTAATTCCACACAAGAATTCAAGATATTTTGAAACACCACTTCCGCTAACATTATGACTTCTGTATGTATATGAAAAATGTTAATGTTCATTTTTATTACTATATTATGTTTTATTCAACTTTTTATTTTTTGAAAAATGTATTTCAAATTGCATCAGTTACTGGCATATGATTCATACATAAATTGTTATGTCATGATATAATAGCAGGCGTTAACTATTTTCAAGTTGACAATACTTGAAATATACTGTATGCATTTAAAAAAAAATGTAACATGAATTTTACATCATTGAATCATTTATGTATCTGATGAATTTTCCAATATTTTTATGGTAACAATCAGAATTTTAAACATTTAGAAATATCTCTCAATTTAAAGGGGGAAAATTGAATATGCTTACATGCGAATTTTAAATACGCGAGCATCAACCAGAGAAGTGAGTCTTATTTAAAGATCCATTTGTTTGTTGGTGTTTTTTTTTATATATTTCTTTGTTGATTTAATTAAAAATTTATGTCTAGATAATTTAAAACATGGCAAATAATTACACATAAGTAAAATGTAGAATTCAGCTGAAATAAGACAAATTAAGTATGAAATATGCTTCAAACTATTTTCATACGGTGATATGATATGTTTTTAACACAAATATAGCATAGTTTAAAGTAGAAATGCGTCGAATATTTGGCATGTGTTTCGACATAAAACAAAGTTGGAACACGGCTTTAATTGAAGCCATGGTTGGAACATGGCAAACTTAAGTTATTGTCAATGTATCTTTTGACATGAATTTAAATTTATAAGTGTTACAGATTAAAGTTGATTTAATTTGAGGAATTAAACAAAATTTCAGATATTATTAAAGCTGTTATTAAACTATCTTGCGACATAAAATTTTAAAAAAAGCGATTAGTGGTTTCCCTAAAAAAATCATGCTGAAATTTAGAGAAAAATGCAGTGCTAAGAGCCGGGTTTCCCTTCACGAATTCAGAACCCATTCAACGTTTCCTTAACGAGTTAGACTAAAATGCAAACTTCATGTGTGTAGACCCCTTTTGACGGGGTTTAATCGGGCACGTTATCATCTTTGGGGATACAATTCAACATAATTTCCTTGAAAAATTAACTATTAAAACTTCCCCAAACAAAAATTTCAAAAATTTTATCAATAAAAATGTCCTTCTGTACGTGATATATGACCTTGATTTGTGTCGATTCGTGATTTGCCATAAACTCAAACCTATCCAATCCTTCGTACAATACTCTTATCTCAGACTTTTAGTGTTTTTTTCTAAATCATTTTTATGTTGCATTGTATTTTATTTCGAAAATATCTTTTGTTTAAACTCTATCTTAAATATATCAGTGTTCATTTAGTCGCATTAAACTGTTTTTATGTTGACAATTTAATTCTTATATTTTTGCCATTTTTACGACATCTGAAAATAGGTTGTACACATGTCTGCAACGTGGAATGCACGCTCTTGAAAAAAACTTCTTAATTTGATAAGACTTTTTGCATACATAAACCACTTGAAGCCTGTCATGTCGCACGATATAACACGATAACATGCTTTCATATAATACCGTAGATGTGTATCTTTTACGCGAGTGTTATTCTCATGTTGCACAATCACGCGCTCATTTGAATAATTTATGCAAAATTGTTACGAAGAGAACAAATCAAAATGCAACATTCGTTTACGCTATCAACGCAGTTTGATATTGATCAAATTTTGCAATTTGCAAATTAAGTAATTATATTGAAACACAAAACGAATATCATGAACTGAATAAAACAGGACTTTATAATTATGTTTGCATGTATAAAATTTTAATCTTTTTCTTTTTCAATTGAAGCAGAAAGGATTTGTGGTGTTAAACATTTGTGTTTCCGTAGAAATTACATTTAGTCGCATGTATGAATTCCAGATCGATCAAAATAATTTAAAATTCTATATTTTAGTATCATTTCTCGCACTGAATTTGATCTCATGATTGCATTTGAAATATTTGCTCTATATAAAGCACGTGCGGGTTTCTGTCGTGTGTGTGTTTTCACTCATATAAATGCAAATAATGTATTTTTTTCTCCATTATTATGAAAATGATATTTTAGATAATTAATGAAAGGTTGAACGCCGCTATCTTACAATATTTCAACTTTTTACCAGTGCAAATGCAATTCATGAGATTGTGGTGTGTAACCTGTAACTTGAAGTAACCTAAAACCTACTAAAGATGTAACATTAAAGCACGTATGTAATTGGTTAGGAGACTGTACGTATTCATGCGATAAAATATGTTTTATTATCTACTTTTAAATTTACAACGGAGTTAGAGAGAAAAAAATTACATAGAGGAAGTGACGTTTTTGATGACTCAGAATTAATAAAAACATGCAAAAATGATACGTTTATTACATGAAAATCAAGTCAACAATCAACATTGCGTAAACATACACACACGCTTTATATAGAGCCTTTGGTAAAAACATTTATGTCGTTATGACAAAAAAAAATATTACGACCAACTTTGTCCGTATTAACAACAACTCAAATGCACAAGTGTCTGCAAATTAGAACAAAACAACAACATCAACAAATAAATATTTAAGATTGTACTGCTTCACTTATACTAATAAGAAAATATATTGTGGTGAACATAGGTAGGCGTTATCTTTTGGATATTTTTATGTAAGGAAGGAAGTTCCCTAGCAGAAATTATGTACACTCAAAGTTTTCTTCCCTCTGTAAATCTTGAAAGTTGTTTTATGACCTTAATTTTGAGAGTAAGTGACGTTAGAAATTAACAAACGTAAGATCGGACATACGATATAATTATTTTACTTACATAGCGTTTGCATGTATTGCAATGGTTTTAATAAAAAGTGAAAAGTCTATTTATATCACTATTTATCTAAATAGGAAAACAGTAATGTACACGCGATATTAAATCATAGAGAAGCATTGTCATTTGTGAAATTGACGACGGCAATCCGTAACATTAAAAAAACAATTATGTGTGGCGCAGGCGTTGTAACACCGCACTTTGGGGTCAAACGCACTTTGGGGTCCGACCCCAAAGTGCGTTACGTACTTTGGGGTCCGACCCCAGAGTGCGTTACGCACTTTGGGGTCCAATTTCGACCCCAAAGTGCGTTAAACAGGTACATATGCATTTTCTAACATCAGGCAAACGACCGCACTTTGGGGTCATAGAAAATTAATGTACATTATGTTTTAAATAATATATTGCAGTCAAAGCCAATGGTAAACATAAAAATCAAGGTATTAAATAGACACAAACATGTGCCCTGAATTATAGTAGAATCAATAGGGATTTAATTTAAATGGTCTTGATTAGTAAGTGAAGAACTTTCAACAAATAAATCACCAAATAAAGAATTTGTATCAATTATTAAGCTTAAAATATTTTTTCTCAAATTTTCCATGTATTTTAAAAGAATGTACAACTTTCATTAACTACATTGTTTTTAGGTAAATGCATTATTTTCCCGTTTTTTATTTACACATTTTTAAGAAATATGAAAGTCTTAGCATAGACAAAGGTATAAATTCTGGGAAATCTTAGTAAGACATTTCAGTAAAAAATGTGCCTGGTCATTTATTTAGCTAAATGTGACATATAAGAAAATTGACTAGGTGTAGATTCGGCTTTAAGTAGTAGTCCGTACTAAAACTATCAACTATTTAAGTAGTCGCAGCTTCAGAATTATGTATAATTCTCACTGGGGTATAGAGGGGATTGTGGGGTATCGATCTCCCCGAGGGTTAAAAATAACGTTTTAAAGGCCCATTATGCTTTCATTTTTTTAAAGCTTTTTTATTTTGATGTTCTTCTATATTATCCAAAAAATAGACATTGGTCAATTACCTGAACCATCTTTTTTTATCTGTTGCTTTTTGGCAGTGATGAGTACAGTTATGGTGAATTAGTATTTTATATGGAAGTCAAATACTACAGTGTTTTGACTTCTTTATGACGAATAATTTTACAGTTATCGCTATATTATTCAGATAACAAGCATCTTACATTTCTCTGATACCATTATTTTAACATTATAAAATTCATGTTTGCTCTTTCTAAAGAAGTATGTAAGATTTCCCATAAAACGGTTGTTAGGAGCTTACAAAAACCCTTAAGTTTGTTGATAAGCTTAATAATGTATTTGTAAAAATCACTATTTATAGTCCGATCGAAAAACTTGATTTTTCACCAGAACATTGCAATAAAGTATATTTATAGTTCTTTGGAAAACAAATATTAACTGCATTTTATTTCATTCCCAACATATTTAAATTGGGGCTCAATATGGCACCAAAAGTTATCAAGTAAATGACCGACAGAATGGGATATTTTTCGCAGCATCTTTTAATTCTAGGAATACACAATTTTTGTACTAGAGTATTTTGAACGGTGGCATAAAAGTGACATTTGTATTTTTTTATACTTTTGTTTTTGTTTTTCGTAAATATGTTTTGTTTGTTTGTCGTACATATTTTTTTTAGTTTTGAATACATACTTTTTTTTAGTAATGCATACATATTCTTTTTTAGTTTGCATACACATTTTATTTTAGTTTGCATACATCTTCTATTTTAGTTTGCATACAAATTTTAGTTTAGTTTTTTTTGTACATATTTTTTTTGTTTGTACATATTTTTACATGACGCCATTTGCAAAGTAGAGGTTTGGATAATTACACCATTTGTTAAACACCATTTTCAAACACTTCGACATCTGTAAATTACAGTACCCCATTTGCAAATGCCATTTGTAAATACCAACATTTTCATTTTTGGAGGTATCAAAAAAATAAGAATTTAGTATCCGCGGTAACCCAAAGAAAGGTTCTGCATATGGTCGCGATGAAGTTAAGATTTGTCACAAGGTGCCTTAAAATCATTCATGGGGTTTCGGAGATAAGGAGCGGACATGAAACCCAAGTCTTTATCCTTTGACCTGTATGTGTGACCCCGACCTTGAGCCGGCACACCTGGCATATAAGTTCTGCGCATTATCTGGATGTGCTAAGGAATTGACCTAAGTTTCATAATTCTCAATTCTCAGGGGGTGGGGTTGAGTGGTGCATATTCATGGAATAATAACTGATCACCAATCAACAGCCCTTTCCAATTAGACACTAATATAACAGTATATAATAATAAAAAACAATAATTATATACAATACATATAATATAAAAAATGGGCCGAGAAGGGTCGGCCGAAACCAGACTTGCCCGGCCGAAAACGACTGGGCCGATTCCAAAAATGGGCCGAAATTTGACCAAACCACTGTGCTAGTTTAATACTCAAATATGGGCTGTTATAAGATTTGAAGGCTGTTTTGATTGGCTAAAATATGTATAAAAAAAAAAAATAAAATATGTACGAAAAACAAAAAATAAAATATGAATGCAAAACTGAAAAAATATGTATGCAAAACTAAAAAAGAATATGTATACAAAACTAAAAACAAAAATATGCAAATGTCACTTTTATGCCACCGTAATTTTGTTATATGAACACAACTTTTAGATATTTTAAGTGGTAAAATTAATGAAACTTTTATCACTTAAGCATCATAAAGTTTTGACCGCCATCTTGAACTCCACCTCAAATATTCCAATGTAGCAGATAGAAAATAAGTCAGTACTCAGTATTTAAGCAGAACTCAGATGAAACCTTAAGACCTCTTGAACCCAAAGTGCGTTGATATGTAGCATATTAACGCACTTTGGGGTCAATTTCTCGATTTTGACCCCAAAGTGCGTTGGACCCCAAAGTGCGGTGCGAAGTTTAACGCACTTTGGGGTCGGACCCCAAAGTGCGTTTGACCCCAAAGTGCGGTGTTACAAGGCGTGAAGTAGTTACATTTATTTTTAATGACATTTGTATAATTTACATTTTATGAAGAAAAAAAAACAACAAAAAACAAGCTTGCGTTGTGTCAAGCGAATTTTGTTACTTCAGTCTTTGATGGGAAATAATCACTTCTACATTGAAGGATAATGTAAACTTTTATTCTATACTCTGGGTATCTGTCGCTGTTAATTGTTTGTATGCTTGGACATTTTATTAATTATCCAACTTCTTGTCAGAATTAAAGTAAAAGAACCGAAGGGTAACTGTAAAAAATTTTGGTGGCACACGACATAACGCTGAGGTACTCGGCTCTTCTATCAATGATATGCACATGCTCCGTATGCTACAGCAATGCCCAAAAACAACAACAATAACATATGAATTTTCTCTCATATTTTATTGCTTTTACTTGACTTTTTTTTTAGTAAGTGAATAGAAATAGTTGTAAAAGATTCTGATCGAGATTTTAATCTCGTTTTTAAACATTAAGGCAATTATACCAAAACGGAAACATATTTAAATATAGAACACGATCTGTGACATTATGTTCTCTGAGTATACATACAATATATGTTACATAATTATATGTTTTAGCATATGTGTTTTACGTTTGAAATAAGTTAGTTTACTGTACACCGGAAACATGATTGTCCCATAGTAATATTCAGTAAGGAATAATAAAAAAATTGCATTCTGTTTAATTCTGTAAAGCATACTCATTTTTCCCACAATCTGACAAAGTCATATGACCGTCCTTCCCTGTAGCTCTGTGGCTTCTTTCCTGTTAATAATTTTTTACAGTCATTGTTTTACAAGTGCTGTTAACCAAAGTCACAAGATAATATTTAAACAATAGCAGTTATTGTGATATATATATTGTGTGTTTGTCCTTGTAGACCATTTGATCCAATTGGATATTGAAAATAAATCTTGCTCATCAAACTTATATTGTACATCAATCGAACTATTGGGCCAAGAAAAAGTGATGATTTAGTTAAGAAAGAATAAAAAAATAGGTTTATTAATTGATTCACTCTTAATTGTTTAGTCCAAGTGAAGAATTGAAGAGCCCTTTGGTGACATTTTCGCATGGCCTGTTGACTAAATAGCATTTTATAGTATTAAACACTTATTTAATATGACAATATGCACGCTGATGTATGTTTAACAAGATGTAAAACTATTTTTCCTATACCATACCTGTCCGTTTGATAAAGTTTATATATGTACACGTTTCTGCTTCTTTTTTATGAATACGCATACAGAAAAAATCTCGAGTAACTTTAAGTTGATATGTCGTCATATGTAAGATATATACGTATGTATATCTATACTGAGTAGTAAAATATATGTTATGTATATTCATTAAAAGGGGGAGTTTACTTTTAGTGTTGTACAAAAAGTTAAAGAATAACACAACTTGCCACGTCACTACCGTGTGAATGTGGATACAGACATGTATATATATATTCTTTTGATTTATGGTGAAATATGTTTTAGTTTTATTATGTTTTATCAGAATATATTGAAAAATAAATGTCACATGAAATATAATTTTGTGCCAACATTAAATCAAATAAAATCTAAAGCTTTATTTGTGTGATCCCAAAACTGTTTAACACTGTAATAAAAATGCACTTTTATTTCCTATCACACGAAATTTGATAAAATCAAAATATTAAAAACGGATGGGTTGAATGGGGAAAATGACGGAATAAGAATATTTTATTTCAATATTCACAATTATGAATAAAAAATGTTATTGCTGTAGTGAATATCTTTTATCTACACAATGAGACAGAAACATAATTTGACTTCAATCTCTTTCTTAAAATGCACAAATGATTATTTATTAGGAATTAATTTAATGTGAAAGTTGGTTGTTAATGGAATACTTGAGTATCGAATGTAAAACATGATAAATTATAGGCTAATAATTTTGATCTTCATAAACTAAAAACAAAGAATTGTTCACTGACATACTGGTAAATGTTACTTTATACATGTATTTGACACAAAAGCTTGTCATCTATTTGAGACATAGTAAGACAAAATGGCAGTGCGTGCGCCTAATTGGAGGAAAAAAATAACGCTGCGCTAATATCTTCAGTTGCTTTACATGTTATAGTATATCCCAGCATCTGTCAATACATGGAATAAGCTTTTATTATTTTGTTTCTGTTTATTGTTTCTAGGTAACCAAGATGACGGAGTCGTGTCCCAAGAAAACAAATATCGCGGAGATTTCTCCACATTTAATTTGTGCATTATGTGGGGGTTACCTGATAGATGCCACGACGATTGTTGAATGTCTACATTCATGTAAGTTACAATAAACATAGATCTGTATGTTTCACATTTAAAATTAATGATGAAATAGATGCTTCATCCTGCTTACTGTTTGTTGAATAGTAAAATGTTTTGATTTTATTTTATTGCAAAGTTACGTTATTTCTTTATATTTGTTGGTAAATATAGCTTAAAGCCATGTAAAGTTCTTTATACATGACTTGTTTATGTGCATACAGATTTTAAATGTACGTATTGCATTTTTTCAGTGTATGCATACTGATGTTTCTGTTGTTATAAATTAACTGACATTCGTTCTTTAAACACAACGAAAAAGCCAGTTTAACATAATATTATATGATTTTGTGTGAAAATGAAGTCCAGATGGTGTACACGATTGTGACAAATACAAATTTATTTCAAAATGCTCAGTCAAATTATGTACATAACGCATTTCAAAATAGTTTTTCACCTGAAAACTGACACTGATATTAGAATATTTATTTTCCTAAGAAAATCATAGAAAACAAAGCATTTTTGGACACTTATAATTTTACTCTGCAACGCAACACCAATGTATGTTTATTATTTATCATAATATATAATGCTCTACAGAAGGTAACTTTTTCGTATCAATTTTTTATTTTTGCAAAAAAGTTGTATACAATAAGCTGGTGTATCATTTTATATTTTGGAAAAAAAACTGTTGTTGTTGTTGTTGTTGTTGTATGTCTCGTGGTATAGTGACGGCGCTGTTACTGAAATTGTTTATATGCTGGAAGAATTTCATTATCGGCGGCGAAAAAGGCATATAACATTTATATATTAATTCACCTTTAAGAAATAGATATGTATTTGTTAAGTAAGCTTATAGGTATTTTTTTCTTTTCTTAATTTTCCTTCAACGTTTTCCCATTTTTTACAGATTTTTTGTTGTTATGTTGTGGCGTAAAAAATAAGGAAATGTTTAAGATTATAAAATGTTGTTTCGGATAAGATAACAAGAATAAATTATTCGGTTGCCTTTTTTCTCTATTATTTGCTGTTCATTCAAAGCGAGCCATTGTGCTAATTAATTCGTCCTTGCAAATGAATAATCAATTATAAAATACATGGTCGTCGTGCATGCGTTATGATATACAATATATTTAACAATAAAATGAATTTCTTATATTCAATAAGAAAGTTTGAAATAATAGAAAAGTAGGTTACAAATATAAAGTGTCTTTGTGTCTTCCTTTCGATTTGAGAACAATGTATGTTTTGAAAAGACCACTTTAATTAAAAAAGGTACTTAAATTAAAACTCTTCACAAAGACTTAAAACAAGCGTTCATTTTTATGATTTAAAATACATTGTTTTAGTTCCGTTTTATAAGATAACTTTCATAAAGGTTTTTCTTTTGCTCTTTTTTTTATTCAGTTAAATAATTGATACTTTTATTTTTCAGTTTGTAAGACGTGCATAGTTCGCTATCTTGAATCCAGTAAATATTGCCCCATATGTGAAGTTCTCGTGCATAAAACAAGACCCCTACAGAATATAAGGTAGGTAGAGTGGGTATGTCTAACTTTCTTGAAGATAATGATATACTAGTATGTTGAGTATTATAAATTAAAAATAAGTTTTTCCGGTTGTTAAATAGATCTAATACGTTTTATATTATATAGTAAATCTATACGCATCTATTTGTTTTATGGAGCTGATACCGGATACACACCATCAAAAGAGTGTACAGTTATGATATAATAAAACGATTCACAGGTCAATAGTACGTGTGTCGATTTGCCTGTCCGTCTGTCTTTATGTATGTATGTATGTTTGATTTCGGACTACATCTTTCCAATTCGAGACCGGTTAGGCTGTATAAATATGTGTTTAATAGTTAAGCTTTCTAATGTTCTAATATTTCTAATAAACAATCGTCTGCTACATAGAAGTATGATAACATAAATTGATATATTTTACTAATCATCATGAAGAAGAACATTTTATTGACAAAGTTTCTTGTCATATACATAATAAACCTACACATTATACATAAATAATTTTAATAATATATAAATTATCAAATTCACAACTGCTAAATCATCAAAATATCAAAAAGGCGGTGGTCTCTTAGAACCCTTTTCTTAATTAAAGGTTCTTTGTTTTCAATATGTAATCTATCTGAAATTGGGTCAGGATATCTATATTACATATTTCCGTAGTAAAATATAGCCATATAAGGAAAACCGACATGAAATGAAAGTGCATGACTTCCTTTGTCATGAAATGTAAATTGAATGTGAAATTTAGTTTTCAACCCTTGACCTTTTTGACTGTGTCACACTAGTTTGACATTTCCCACAGTATTGCACGTTCACGTCGTTCACACGTCGATTTTGTTCTTTTCAGGTTAGACCACACCCTTCAAGATATTGTTTACAAGTTGGTGCCGGGGCTCTTTAAAAGTAAGTACTATTGCTGGTATTCTAAACCAATACATTTTCTTTATAAAGATTAATATAATATGAAACTAGTTAAACCTTACATCTATAATCAGATAGATTTTTCTCTGACGAATTTCAAAATAAAAAAAATGTAATCTTCTGTGAAAGAAAAGAAATGTGTATGCCAGTTGTATATCTAACGTTACATGTTACATAAAAGCTACAGTCTTATGTTATAATGTAAAAACGAGGCGGTGCCCTAGTTGTCTACGATCATTTGTTCGGGCTCTAATTTGTGTGTAACTGAGGTTTTGCTGATGATATTGGAATTGTTTCTTGAGAGTTATCTAAATGTGCCACTCTATCACATGGGATGTAAGGTCCTGGTTGACATGAAAATACTTTGTGAAAAGCGTATTGTTAATTTAGAGTATATTCCAATGCAAAAATGTACTTTGAGTCGAAGCGTTATATTTTATGAATTAATTGAAATAATTCAATTTTAAAGATACGACTGTAGTTGACTATTCCTATTTACTTTAGCTAAGAAATTCTCATAAAGATTATTGAGATTGTTCTTCTTAATTGCAGGCGAGATGAAGCGTCGGAGGGAATTTTACAAGGATCACCCTACAGTCAGTAAGTGTCGTCTGCCATTTTTCATATATTTTTTCGTCTGAATATCTACCAGACAATAGACTGATTATAAAGTTACATACTACGTGGATTGATTTATCAAACAATACCTTGGTGAGCACGCGCTGCTAATTAATCGTCTGGAATCGGTGCCCGCAATCTTTCCTGTTGCTAACGCGACATACTGTCACGTAGCGTTGTTTTTTAATTAATACATAATACTTAGAGGATTCATGCCACATGGAAATAGATCTAAATGCACATAAGATCACAACATGGAAGATAAAATGCTAATACGGGATTATATATAAGCGTCTGTCTGAATACAAATATTCATCCGTATCAGTCTCGGATATGGACCATTGATATTATTTCCTGCTGCGTGTTCGTCGAAATAAAACCGATATGTTTAAATTTTCAGCTGAAAGAGTCCGTTTTAATTAAAAAAGCTTGACTTCATGAATTCACGATTTCAACTTCATGAATTCACGATTTCAACTTTATGGAGTTGAGTCGTGAATTCATGAAGTTGAAATCGTGAATTCGTGAAGTTGAAATCGTGAATTCGTGAAGTTGAAATCAATCGTGGATTCACGTTCAGTTGAATTCGTGAAGTTGAAATCGTGAATTCATGAAGTTGAAATCACGAATTCGTGAAGTTAAAATCGTGAATTCACGAAGTTGAAATCGGGAATCCGTGAAGTTGAAATCGTGAATTTGTGAAGTTAAAATCGTGAATTCTTGAAGTTGAAATCGTTAATTCATGAAGTTGAAATCGTTAATTCGTGAATTCCGTATGTTGAAAACGGAAATTCACGAAGTTTAAATTGTGAATTCATGAAGATGAAATCAGGAATTCATGAAGTTTATATGGCCCTACCGGTCTGTCGTAGTTTATTATAAACTTATACTGCGGTCAACAAATATGTTCCTTCTTTGCAGTTCGTCATACATGTATCTTGAATATACATCGTTTACAATTTAACGGTTATTAAACTTCCGGACGTGTATATATAAAGACCTTCACATTTCCTGGAGAGTATCGACTGCCATTTGCAATTTACTTTTTGTTGAACTTTTATTTCTTAATTTCGTTTCTCTTATAATTTCAAACAAAATTAATACATCACGTCAGCGCTGAAATAAAGGTGAACATCGAGAACAAAAAGGATTCGACCTTACGTATCTAAATTTGTGATATTTCTTTTTCAGGAAGTGCAAAAGTTCGCCAAGAGCAGCAGCGTCACAGAATCATATACTCGGCAGACGAACAATTCAGTATTGCTTTAGAATTTTGTCCAGAGTATGTATATACCTTTTTGCTAAATGAAACAGGCTTTGTGTTGTCATAGCTGCTTGTTAACTATGAATAATACGAAATTTAATACAACTAGCATTTTGCTTAATCTGTATCTCTTGCAAAAGTAAGATGACTGGGCAATAATGTTGACATTGTCGGCATGTCCTTCCGTCCATCTCCTCTTAAGTGCAAAATCGTATTTTTTGATTTGACAATGATTTTCTATGACTTGAAAATGTTTTGCTACGGTAGTGCTCATCTAATTCGTTAAACTTTTATATAGACAGATACCAATTTATGTAATAAAATTATGCTTCTTTTGAATATAAACCGTTCTTGAACACTGACCATGTGAATATAACATAATACATGGCATGAATAATATCATTGTAATAATGTGTCACATTATGAGAACATTTTTTCACACATAGATATGTACATGTAAGCACGATGATGAATTTGTCCACCACTCAGCATGGTATAGAACAACAAGTATATGTAGGCGTATATTCTCATTTTTTTCTGCGTTTATGTTTGATATAATTTGAAAACTGTTATGTTAATTTTTACAGCGGAAGAATACGGCGGCCGTCGGGGAGAAGATCACGACGAGCAAGTAAACCAGAGGTAATACATCACAATAAATAAGTTAAAGGTTTACTTAAATGTAACGTTAATTATTATTCGTGAAATAGACCCGTTTAAGACAGACACATCAGCGAGCTAGCCTAAAAATTGAATCAACAACAACAGCAAGTACGAAGAATTAACGGTGACTGCACAGCAGTAATGTATGCACTGAACTATTGAAACCAGATTGAAATTTTCATTGATGTCTTCAAAAGCTAAAGAACCTTAAAAACGATTACCTGACACGGTACCTAACTCAAACATAATTACAATAAAAGAATGTAGTTCTTCTAAGACTAGAACATTACTGAGTGGTCAGACGTCCTGATTTAAAGTTACAGGGTTGTGCATTTGACGCCAACAACTTTAATTTAAGTTAATAATAGTTTTCCTGACGACATTTTAAGGTTCCTTGTTTTCATGACGCCCTTAAATGATGATAACCCCAGGAGCAAAGAATCTTTGTACGTTTTCCGTATAAATCAATCTACAATCATAAATGGGTTACCGGTGACAATTATGAATAAACGTCTGTAAAAGTAACTTTAAAGCAACTCCGAAGATGTCAACTGGCTTAAAAATTCTAAAATAGCTCAACCGGACTACCTTAAGCTAGATAGGCAAAATATAATAAATAAATACAATTTGAATTAAATCGGAGCTCGTATTGTGTGCTATGTTAAAAACGATTTTAGTTAAAAGATTGTTAAATCATTTTCAGTTTATAGTCCTTTTTCAAAGTAAAAAAAGTTGTATTAGAAACAGGGAGCAAGAAAATAATACACAAGACCAGTATCAGATGGTATAAACATCTCGAAAATGAAAAATTCTACACAATGTTGTTACCTCATGTCAAACGTCTGCCGTGGCGTCCCTTTTAGACACAAACGAGTGTTAATATGAGGCTGTTAATATGTTGTATCTGATTTCCTCACTTAACGAGTACATGTATGTGTGTTTTGCTGCAATAATATTTGCACATGTAACGCTTATGTGTGTAACGGTGGAATATTTATACATGTTTTATTACATGCTTTGAGATGTATGTATATCAAAGATGTCAGACAAATAATGATAACATGTACTAGTATTTGACTTTTCAGGCTCCCGAGAGACGATATTTGCTGTGCCCGGCAGGAACGACGGTAGCTCTTCTGAAGAAATTCATGAAACTGAAATTTGCTCTTCCCCCGAAATTCAAGGTAAATATTTCATTCTGAAAATATTGCAAACTTTAAACATTGCAGCTTCAAGTTTTGGGTTAACAAGCATACTTATATTTGAAAATCATTATATGGTCATAATTTTAATGAAGAATGGTGATTGAAAATTTTGTAAACTTAACAACATATCTGCACGTTTAAAAGTTTATTTATGTCTTAAAGCTATATTAAAGTATCAGCACACAATGATTATACGAGTATGTATAATTTACCATCATTTTCAAACATGATTCATAATTATGATGTAAGGATATATACATGTACAACGTTACTATTTAATTCGATATGTTAGTGATTTATAACCGGAAAGAGTTAACCAGTTTTGACGCCTATACTTACTATTGTATTCTAGGTTGACATCTTTCATGAAAAGGGGCCATTACGGGACCATTTTTCTATGATGGACGTGGCGTACATTTACTCGTGGAAACGGGTAAGAACTTATTTCCTCTGAGATATAGATTTCTTAATATACTTGCTATACTTCCATTATATACTTTCCTTTCATGCTCCAATTGGTTTATGTACAAACAATTAAAGACTGAAATGAAAAATTGATCCACAGAAGCAATTATAATTTGTTATTGTCTGGAAAGACTCTGACGTAAGTTAAGTAAAACCTAATAGTATATAAACCCTATAAACACTTATGACGAGTATTTATTTTTGTATTTTTACAACTGCTCAATGATATTATATTAACATCTTCCTATTGGTTTTCAGGAAGGGGTTTTACAACTTTATTATACCGTGTACAAAGCTCCGGATCCTGTCCCTGAGATAAAAATCACAGAGGTGAAGGACGAAAAGTGTTTTGACATAGCAGACGACACTGGCCAAAAAGCAGACGATACGCGCCCATCTACTTTATTCAATAAAGCGACATTGTTAGGAAACCATAGTGTAGATAGAAACATACCCCATGATCTTTCACCTTTAGAACTGATAGCAACGGTTGCAAATGATATTTGTATCCAAGAGGGGCGTGGTCTTAAACGTAAACCGGAAGATGCGCAGCTGTACGAAAATGATGATGATAATTGTTCCACGGAAACGCGACAACTTCAGAAATCCATAGAGCACGCGATTGATATATGTTCAAATAGTAACCAAGGGAGTCCGGCGTGTGCGTCTGCAATAAACACCAGTTCTACAACAACAAGCATCCAAGATACTCGAACTGGTAACCTAGTTACGGTGTCTGAGTACGTGCCAGTTACAGCAAACAATTATGTTAAGGTTGCTAATGGAACTTCTACTGCTATATCTAATAATGGAAGTGAAACCTTTATTAAACCTAGTGTGACTCAAAAAAGTATTGACAAAAATCTTTTAACCAAAGACAAACCGAAGAAAACGGACACGGCATCTCAGTGTGACCCTCGACCTAAAAAGCATAAAGGTGAAGGCTATACGCATAATAAATCTAAAAATAGTAGCAAAAACCCATCAACCAATAAAGACGGAATCATAAATAGCAGTATTAGTAGTTCAGATAAGAAAGTAAATGTTAACAATGAGGCAAATAATAGTGATAAAGTAATCCCGCTTAAAACAAATGGCGTAAATGTGTCAGAACAAAACAGTGCGTCCGCTAAATGCAACGTGTCTCACCCTAGTGCTAAAAGTGGGGAAACTGTTAAAAGTATAGACACTAACACAGATACTGTCAAAGACCAAACGCCTGGACCAAAATTAGACAATAATAATACTAGCACAACCAAAGACACTAACGTACAAGCAAAAACTCGAAATGAAATTCCTAAAACTTCAGCATCAAATGTTTATGCGGCTCCTGGTGGTAGTGCAATTACTACATGCTCCCCTCTTAGAACTATGAGCACAGTAACCAAACCGTCGAACACGTCTACAAATGTTAAACCGTCTTATACCCTTTATAAGCCACCTAATGTTCCAACTCAAAACAAAATTTCAAATTCACAAAATAAGTTACCAGTTTCTTCAACGGCAACTAAAATTCCTTCTAAAGCGATAACTGCTCAAATTTCTAGCAAGATAGTCCCTCCTGTGCTCAAATCCGTTTCAACGCCAACTAAAGTAACAGAAACAGTGAAGCAGACGGCACAAATAAAGCAGACGACACAGATAAATGGTCATTCCAGTCTCGCCGAGGTTGCTAAGCAACAGACCAAACTTTCAATTACGACAAAGGTTACCCAGAACGAAAATAAGGATTAAACTTGAGACAAATTTCATGAAAGAGTCAAGTGTGACGCATTTACTAAGTCATCCGCATCGTTGACTATAAAGAAAAAAACAACTTACTTTTTATATTTTTACTTCAGTGCGACATACTTTCAATTAGAAACTGAATTCACTTGTGCAGTTGAGTATTTCAGGATAAATCGAACTTAGAAAAGTTCAGTTTGTATTGTGGTAACTTTCTGAAAATGTGTTTTCAATTTAAAAGTTAAAAATCTAGCTTTATTTGATATGAACTTTATAGCTTGTAACCTACTTCATTCATAAACAGTGGGGACAATATTGACAATTTTAACTTTAATATTTTTGGATATTTTACTCTCACCTTTTAACTTATTTCAAGCAAATAAATTGTTTTTAGATTTACCACATGGTGAAACAACCAACGGTAAACTTCGCCACTTTCCGTATTTGATTTTTATCTTGTAAGAGTTTATTTAACAAGATTTTTTTGCAGTCATGATAAATTAGACGCTTATTTGACTATTGACGGAGCAAAGGTGAATAATTATTAGTTAAACTTTGTTGAAGATTACTTGACTACGTGTATGGAATTGGAAATATTTGGACGTTTACGTTATTTACTAAATAAGAGAACGTAAATCGCCGGATGTGATCTATGGATGCATGTCTTTCTCTATATTATAAATTCTTGTTAAAATCTTTTTTTAATGTAAATACGTCAAGTTATTTGTTCTCTTTGAATCAAATTTTCCACTGACAGGTCGTGATAGGTAAATTAAGTTTTAATTTCTTGGTTTAGAGGTATTATTGTTAGAGAATATATAAATGTTAAACTACATGTATATGGATATACATGTACCCCTTTTTAGTCCCCTACCGGTTTACCGGAGGGGACTTTAGGTTTACCCTCCGTCCGTCTGTCCGTCCGTCAGTCCGTCCGTCCGTCTGTCCGTCCGTCAGTCCGTCCGTCCACAAAACTGGATCCCGCGATAACGCAAAAAGTACTGAAAATATTTTAATGAAACTTGATATATGGATAGATGGCAGTATGGAGATTATGCACGTCTTTTTCTTTTCTTCCTATGTTGAAAATTCTGGTTGTTATGGCAACAAATAGACTGAAAATATGGCAAATTTTACACATAACCTGGATCCCGCGATAACTCAAAAAGTACTGAAAATATTTTTATGAAACTTGATATATGGATAGATGGCAGTATGGAGATTATGCACGTCTTTTTCTTTTCTTCCTATGTTGAAAATTCTGGTTGCTATGGCAACAAATAGACTGAAAATATGGCAAATTTTACACATAACCTGGATCCAGTGATAACACAAAAAGTACTGAAATATGTTTATGAAACTTGACATATGGGTAGATGGCAGTATGGAAATTATGCACATCCTTTTTTATCTTCCTATGTTGAAAATTCTGGTTGCTATGGCAACAAATAGACTGAATTTCAAGATTTCTGATTCAAGTTTTTAAGTTTTTTCACTATAAGTTCTTTATTTCTTAAGGTATTTTCTTCAAACTTTAAATATAAGTTGCTTGTCATCAACCACATCATATGTGACAAGGTTTACAACTCTAGCACAAAATTTATCAGAATTAGCTCCCTTGAACTTAAAATTTTCATGAAAAAAAAAACATTGTTTTTTTAATAACTTCTTTTTCTGAATGTATCTACTTCAAACTTCATATAAATGTTTCTTATTGTCACTCAACATTTGTGAGTGTTCAATACTCTACCAAGACTATTTCCAGAATTATGCCCCTTTTGAACTTAGACTTTTTTTTGAGAAATTGGTAATTTTTACTCCAACTTCTTCAATCATGATAGGATTTTAAAAATGTTATATTTTGATAACAGGGATGTTTAAAAAATTACTTTAGAGTGTCCTTCAGTCCGTCTGTCTGTACATAAAAACTGTTTCCTGTGATCACTTTTAAAGAACTTTTTCAACAAATTTACTTAAAATAGGAACCTAAATGAATGGCCAATGGCCCTTCAGAATGTTGCTTGGGCTCTTACCGGTAGGGGACTTATGGATTGCTTGCAATACTATGATAATTGCTTGTTTAATATGGAAAACTAATATCACATAAGCTTTTATTTGTTTGTTACTTACGCAAAATTTAATGATATTTACGCAGCAAAACATTTACCATTATCGATACACAATTAAAACCTTTATAGATAATAATAATACAATTGAGACTTCATTCTTATTCGAGTCGCAAGATATTAATTATTGTAAACATTTTTAATTTGATTGGACAAATACTGCGCGATCAAAAATTTTAAATATTACCCCCTTTGGACTTCTGAATTGTGTTGTTTAGGCCCTGAACATGACATAATGAAAGATGACGTCATTTTAACTTATTAGATATATTCATTTTAGCAGAGTTTATTTGTGTTTTTTAGTGGGAGACAATATATTGACGTTATTGTTGATCATAAGTTGTTTAAAGATTTTGTTTTATCTACAAGGATATTCTTTGTGTTTTCAGGGAATAGAAACGTTATAGTTATTGCATTTATCTCATTTTACGTTAAAACGTGGACGTTGTTAAAACGTTAACTTATCTTTATAATGATATAATCATGTTTATGTTACTGTGGAATTCAGAAATCCGCTATGTTTGAAAACAAAATATATTCACGAAAATAAAATGAAGAAAATAATGGTATTTAGTTTCTTGTACATTGATATTTTTTTCAAAAATGGAAATGGAAAATATTAACTGTAGAAAGGTTATTTTACGTTAATGGCAGCATACAGCCTGTATACATCGGCATGTGTTCGTCCTTCCTTTGTTCAAATTTCAGCACTCTTTTATTTGATATAACTATTAAATGATAAACAGACGGATGTATGTATGTATTAGTCACCGTCCGGTTAGCTCAATATGTAGAGCGCTGAACTGTGAATCGGTCGATCCGGGTTTGATACTTGATACCCGGACGGTGCAGGGCACTTCTGTTGTGATTGATCTTGCAACATTTTCTACAGTCATTCGCACTGTACCTATCTTCTGTCATGTACAGAAGTTATCACTTCCTTGCGAAAGTGAAGGTAACCAGTACTACTGGTAAACTGTTTTACAGCATGCTCGGGAAAGATACGGTGGCTAAACTGTGATCTGGTAAATTCAATGTAGCTGATTGCCATGATCCGGAGTCAACTACCAACAACATCCCAACCACCACATGTATGTATCACTTCTCATTTCCCCTCGGTACGTACACGTCGTTTTGAAGTCACAGGAAATCGACAGAAGTTTTGGAGAACTTGAGATGGCGATAAAAATAATCTCCTGTGGACCAGCGGTGACTGTCTTGACTAAAGCCCAGAGAATAACGGCTTGAAACACAGGTCATTTGCTGGTATAGCAGCCCTTTTCAGGGCTACCTCCTTTTCATAATGTCAATTGATACTGTACAGCCCGTCGTACAGTGACCTACTTTTGTCTGAAAATTCATATCCGTAGGAATTGCATGAGGATTTATCAACATTTTGTGCTTCAACATGCATGACTGGTGACATGTCTGGATTCTTTGTCGTCAGTGAAAGTTGCTTTTTGTGCCAATGCAGGCCTCATTTAACATAGACTACAGACATGCATTCTTGTGTCAATGACCTAATAAATGCGACGTGATTATTGCTGAAAAAAATTAAGATCTGCAACGATAAAATGTAACATGCCGGTTGATGTGGTGTGCATAAAATGGTTCGTTTAATTTCTCTTTTTTATAAGAGATTTATCGGCTTCTATTAGTGTCTTCTGCTTGTATCTTCGCTGATAAGGTTTAATATATAATGATAAAACACAGAGAGAAAAAAAAACACCTCCCCGACGGGGAATTGAACCCCGGTCTCCCGCGTGACAGGCGGGGATACTCACCACTATACTATCGAGGATTGCTTGTAAAATCGAATGTAGTAAAGTATCACAACCTTGGTAAAACGATAGTGCGGTTATTTGTGACGTCACAACAGCGGACACATTTCTCAATCGATAAACGAGCCATGAAGAGCTATATTGTATTTTTACTGGTTTAAAGGAAAGCAAAGAAATACATTAGACCACGTGTTAGTTACCTAAGGTGAAACGTCTGTACACAACGGAGTTTCAACAATAGATTAGATAATGCCTTCGATACTTAATTCAGAACAGAACAGAACAGAATCTTTGTAAAAAAATATAATCATTCAAATATATTTAACATAAGTCACATTTCACAGTAGAACACAGTCAAATGTTAGCAAAGTACATGGTTTCCAGATTCATGCTCATTCTTCATGTAAATTTTGAAAGAAAAATATAGTGTAGTGAACAAGGAAAGTAATTTACACATTACAAACAGCATTTACAGTCTACTTAAATTACCAAAAAGGCTAAAAAAATACAATAATAGCCATAACTGCGTTAGTCACGCAGTAGAAATATGGTAATAAGTACTGTGACTTCGGTCGTTAAAGACATTTAACACATAAATAATTACTTATATTTCTAATTTTTTTTACTTCTCTTAAAATCTGAGTACATTTTTCTTAAGTTTGTTTTTCTTGAAATATTTTTGTTTTATTTGGAGGCGTGCAGCTTTAAAGGAGCTACACAAAGGTCCAAAATCCTAAAACATAAAACTTTAAAGTCTTACATAGACCAGCTAGGGCACTTAATTAAACGACATACAAAAGGTATTTTAAAAATATACTGAAAAATAAATTGCAAATCGTACTTCCATACTTTTTTAAGCCCGATTTGGGTGAAAAGCGTTGCAATGCTTTTCAATTTTGGGTATTTTTATACAATTAGAATCCTTATTGAATGATCTGAAATTTTCCACTCAAGTTATTTGTCTAGACCTACATCAAATGGAACATTATTCTCGAAAATTGATTTAAAAACCGCACGGCTCCAGATTCATGCTAATTTTCAGTAGAAATATAGTTATAAATACTGTAAAATCAGTCATTAATCGTACATAACATGTAAATTATTACTTGAATCTTGAATATTATTACTTTTCCAAAAATCTAAGTACATTTTTTTCAAGTTTGATCATATTAAAATGTTTTCGCTCATCTGGAGGCATGCAGCTTTAAGTCTCGTCATGTCAAAACCCTTTAACTGTACAAATAGCTAGATCTAACTAACTAAATAACCGCAGACTGTGTTCATAAATTAAAGAATATTTACCAAGTCATGTGTCATGGTAAACAAAGACTGAAGGTGTTACAGAAAACAACTTCTGTTTTTTAATTTTGAAATAAGCAAAATAGAAGCTTCTCTCCGACGGGGAATTGAACCACGGTCTCCAGCGTGACAGGCGGGGATACTCACCACAATACTATAGAGGATGACTTAGTGTATCTTCCTAAACCTAGTATTTTGTAATAATTATTACTCGTATATTGATGTATAACGGTCGTGGATTCTCAGCACCGCGTGACAGGCGGGGATACTCACCACTATACTATCGAGGATTGCTTAGTGTATCTTCCTAAACCTAGTATTTTGTAATAATTATTACTCGTATATTGATGTATAACGGTCGTGGATTCTCATCACCACCAATTTCTGAAAAAAAATCTAATGTCTTAAAATAAACAACCTCGCCGACGGGGAATTGAATCCCGGTCTCCCGCGTGACAGGCGGGGATACTTACCACTATACTATCGAG